GTCGTTCGCGAGCTTCCCGGAACCCTAAACTGTTACCCTACACTCCACATCATCCTTAAACCCACTCCCTTATCCCCATGCACCCTCAGGTCCATAAACCCCTTCGCGATCTCGATCTTCACCTTCTCGTCAGCCTTTATACTCCTTAAACCGCGTGTAAAGATGTTCCCTAAATCCGTGTAAAATGTCATTAACCCTCAACCTTACCCGCAACCCCTATACTTTTTCCATGGGATTTTTTTTTGTCCGCCCCCACCCACCCCACCTCCTAGTTCACTTTTAGTTGCCGGCTTGTCCCGTGAGGTCCAAGGCCCCCAGGTGCGGCATCGCTCGGCCTTCGGTTTTGCGGCTTCGGCCTCCGCGGCACTTTGGCCCGTTTTTACTTTGCTTTTTGGGTTTGCGGTTCATGTTCTGTGGGGTCTAGGGGGTGTAGAGAGGGTGTAGCGGTTTTTTGTGACATTTACAGGGTTTTAATTTTCTCGTGAGTGTTTCGGGGACTTTGGGCGGTCTTCAGGAGGTTTAGTGAGCTCTCCGGCTGTTATGACATTTTGCGCTTAGTTTGTGTGGGTTTGGGTGTGTTTTTCAAAGACGACATGTAAAGGTCTTGCGAAGACTCATGGCCAAATCTCTTCGCTCACTTCGTCTAAGCATGTCCGAGCCACAGCCATGAATTCGTTCGAAGATGTGGACAACCTAAGTTTACACCCTTCAATACCTTACAGCACAAGGAAAGGCCTCTATCAGCCTCTCTGGTTGAAGGTCTTCGTCGCCCCACACCTCAGAAAGCTTTCAGTTGAGCTTTATACACACAGCCCTGATAATTTGAGACAATTCCACCCCCCAAACCGTAAACCGTAAACCATCCTAAATCCCAAACCCGAAAAGCCCCAAACTCGAAACCTTACCCAGTCTGTGCAAAGCAAAGCCGAGCAGTTCTTTGAAAATGTTTTGCTGAGGTGCTTCGCCTTGGCATGGGCAGGGACCTCAGCCCTGCTCCCCGAGCTCGCCATTATGCTATTGCAGGGCTGGGGCTCGGGGTTTTGGCTTGTGGTTTAGGGTTGACGATTTGGGTTTGGGGTTTTAGGTTCGGATTTTGAGGTTTCGGTCTGGGGTTTGGGATCGCGGCTTTGGGCAGTATCCAGCTATTCAGTCGAAGTATCCATGGCTACCACGGTCCCAGTGATAGGTTTGAGTCACATTTTCACAACTTGTTCACGTGGCATTCATACTCGATTGTACCTCAAACATGTTCGTCACATCCGTATGCTCATGGTATTCGTAATCCTTGTCATTCAGTGTCGATCACCGGCCGAATCTGTACTCCAACCCACCAGGGCCGACGCGGTAAACCCAGATCCTGATGCCATCAATCTTACACCCCAAGCCCTGAGTCTGAAGCCTCGATGATAGCCTGAAGCACGAGCGGCCCCAAGCCCCCATCATGACACGCCATGACACCCCATTTGCCCTTGCCCTGAAGCCACACCATCCCATGGAGCGCAGCAAGCTGTAGAAGTTTCAGGCCCTGTCCTCACAGTTTGGCCCATGCCTGGTGTGCCGGTGACGGTGAACCCCATGCCTCTCGTTCTGGCTTTGTGTTTTTTCTTTGGTCCTCTAGCCAGCCTTGGTGGCTAGAGGATGTGGATGCAGAATGTCGCAAGATCTTCAACCTGAATAAACCCAGAACATTCATTCAAATCCATCCAACATCTTTTGAATGCCACCTGCAGCAAGGACCTGTTCAATGCCTCAGTCCCGAAACCTAAACCCTCGAACCCCAAACTGTTGAGAATCCTTCAAAGCCCGAAGCTTTCAACTCACGGCCCTTTAGCTGTCAAGGAAGTTGTTGCGGTGTTCTGGAACCCCCCAAATCCCAGGCCGACTCTAAAACTCCCATCTGAAAGACCTGCCAGAAGAGTCCATAATCTGCAACGTTTAGAGATCTCTATGATGTCCGGCCCTGCTCAAAACATCTAGGGCACCTTGGAGGTATCTTTTCGTGAGATCCTCCCGGCACACCCGAGATGCAGAACCCAACACCTTCCCATCAAAAGCCTATATAGTTTCTCTATAACCAGACCCCTACGAAGCCCCATCAAAAGCCCCAGCTGTAAACACCATAAACTAAAACCCGAAAACCTAAACCTTAAAGCACCAAATCCCTAAACCCCTAATCCCCTGAATCCCTGTATCCCCTAAATCTCCACACCCCACAAACCCCAAAGCCCTGCCTACTTGGAGGTTCATGGGTAGTCATAAGCGGGGTTATAAATAAGACAAGTATAGCTACAATCCATATTACAAAAGTTACAACCTACAACCCTACTTATAACTAACTATATAGGGGCCTGAATGATTACCAATCCTGTTTTGGGGGTTCCTTATCGCAATTACAGTATAACTAGATAATATACCCCAAAACCCAACTCTAATTTCTTAGGCCCCTATATTACCCATGAACCTCCACGTACACCTAAACCCTAAACCCCTAAACCCTAAATCCTAAACCCCTAAACCCTAAACCCCTAAACCCGTAAACCACCTAAATCCCATAGACCCTAGATCCCCGAAGTCCCCTAAACCAAGTACACCTGTGGACTCCGAGGATGAACGCCGAACTGCGAGGCCAGGCCACAGTGGAGATCTCCGGCGCGGCGCTGCTGCTCGGCTTCGCTGGAACGCAGGGCTTCGTCTACAGGGTTTATTAAGGCTTTTGGGGTTTGCAGGGTTTTGGGTTAAAGGTCTAAGGTTCAGGGTTGTTTAAGGTTTAAGGTTGAAAGGTTTAGGGTTTAGTTTAGGGTTTTGGGTTTGGACGGTTTGGAACATGAACGCCCGGGAGGGTTTGAGCTTTACGGTTTTGCTTAGGGCCGTGATGTTTTTTGTTTTAGGATATCCAGGGGCTACGGTCTATACGGAGTCTATGGTTCATTCTGGTTTTGGTGGCAGATATGATTAAAACATACGTTTGGAATGTGTATTATCAAGAGTTTGCACATGCACAGCTATGTGCAATCGTTTACAGCAAGAGTAGTATGTTTTTTTGGGGTAGTCGCTTACGGTTTGTCTACACGGATCCAGTATTGCGCGCATTGTTTGGGTCCGTACTTACTTCCGCCCAGTTGCATGCCCCTGTTCCCAGAGCCTCCAAAACCCCTTAATTAAGGAATATACTTTAAAGTATACTAGGATCCCTAATATGATTTAAGGTATAGTCCTTAGTTAAGGGGTTTTGGAGGCTGTGGGTTCTTAGATTGTCACGCCCGTAAACCTTAGCGCTGCATCAGAGGCTGCAGGATTTCCTGACGAGGCCTTCGGCCCAGAAGCAAAACTTCAGCATCGCGGATGTGCTTGATTAGAGCAGGGCATCTCGCCAAAAGTGGCACTGAAGGTGTGCAAGATCATATTTCGATCATTTTTGTGGATAAAGACCAAGACTGTACGAAGAGAGAGCGAGAGAGAGAGAGAGAGAGAGAGAGAGAGAGGGTCTCATGCATGCTGAAGTCATGTCGTCGTGAATGAGGAACCCTGGTAACCATACTTACTGATCATACTGTCACTCCTTCAACCTAGAAACCAGGGGGAAAACATTCACCTTTTCACACTCCTCCAAAAGCCCCCGCAAACATCGGGGGGGCCGAGGGGTTTCGAACTCCCCCCGTGCCCCGGGGGAAGAAGATGGTCTTATGTGTCCAAGCCCAGGCTCCAGAAAGAGCAAAGCGAGCAGTTTCTGCAGCCTGCTGTGCGGAGTCCGGAGCACCGCCACTGCACCGTCTACGAAGCTTGGGATCTCTTTGAGAAGGGACTCGTCAGGGTTTGGGCTTATCTTGTTGGGTTCAAGATTGATTTGAGCCTTTAGGCTTTTTTACAGGAAGGGCGGGAAGCCAGGGTTTCAGCATCCAGGGAGGCTTCTGTAGGAGGAGAATAGGGCCTTTCAGAAAGGCGCCCGGCCCGGTGTTTGTTGCTTGATCTTCATCTTGGTAGGCGACACCTATCGAGCCTTAATGCCAAGCGAGTTACGCCGTAGAGCTTCTCCGATACCCCATCTCCGATGCGCTCTATAGACTTCTCTTCTTTCTAGACGCTATACCGTAAAGCTGCAAAAATGTCGCCTGGGCTCCGTCTCTCCGTCGTGTTAGATGCTTCGCTGAGGAGCAGTGGCGCAAGCGCTGGCTTGGAAGCCATGTCGCACCTGGGTTGCTTTCCAGAAGTTTTGCTAGCGCCTTTAAACTTAAGACAACAAGCTTGTAGACCCACATCTGAGATCTACATCTGGATAGATAACCCTTAAAGCAATAAGCTTCTAGACCCAGATTTGGATAGATAACTGACTATTGACGGTCAAATCTGGAAGCATCTCTTTGGGATTGCTTTCTTCGAGCCTGAAGCCTGTTCCCGAAGCACGAACGCGGACCGTAAACACCAATGCAGTTGAGGGTGGTTCAGGTTTACGGTTAAGGCGGTCACAGGATCTTAATCCCCGTAGGTCCCAGCTCATCAAGTAGATAGCCCCAAGTCCTGAGCCAATACCGCTCTCAATAGCCAGGCCAGGCGTGGCATTAGCGTAGAGCAGCTGGGAGGCTTTTGTGTAGCTCCATGCGAGTCCTTCAAACCGAAAGCCCAAAACCTACACCCCAGAAGCCCTAAACTCTAAACCCCAGAAGCCCTAAACACCAAAACCCAAAACACGCAGAGCCCTGATTCAAAGCCCTGAGCCCTGAGCCCCTTCGAAAGTCCCAGGAGAAACTCCAAAAATCCCCGAAGCCGCATCAACCCTACAGCCCTCATTAAACCCTAAACCTAAACCCTACTATAAACCCTAAACCCTATAAACCCTAAACCCTAAACCCTAAACCCTATAAACCCTAAACCCTAAACCCTAAACCCTAAACCCTTAACCCTAAGCCCTAAACCCTAAACCCTAAACCCTAAGCCCTAAACCCTAAACCCTATAAACCCTTAACCCTACAGCCCGAACGCCCAAAGCCCCAAAGCCTCAGGAGATGCCCCTCGGCTCGACGCCCTATGGAGCCAACGTGGGGACTTGGGAGGCGGCATAGAGAGAGAGAGAGAGAGAGAGAGAAAGAGCGATATATATATATATATATATATATATATATATTTTTATTTATATTTATATTATATTATATTATATTATATTATTTTATTTTATATTCTATTCTATTCTATTATATTATATTATATTACATTATATTATATTACATTATATTATATTACATTATATTATATCACATTATATTATACTACATTATATTATATTACATTATATTATATTACATTATATTATATTACATTATATTATATTACATTATATTACATTATATTATATTACATTATATTATATTACATTATATTATATTACATTATATTATATTACATTATATTATATTACATTATATTATATTTACCTTTGTTTTTATTATTACCTATTTTATAAATCCAATTATTATTATATTATAATATATTTATATTTTATTATATTTTATTATATTTTTATTATATATTATTTATATTATATACATTCTATTATATTCACATTATTATTATATGACTTAATATCTACATTATATTTTTTTTTTTTTTTGGATATTTTACATTATATGTTTTCTCATTTGTAATAATTATATTACATTATAGTATATTACATTATATTATATTACATTATATTATATTACATTATATTATATTACATTATATTATATTACATTATATTATATTACATTATATTATATTATATTGTATTATATTATATTATATTACATTATATTACATTACATTACATTATATTATATTATATTATTTTTATTTTATTATATTATATTATATTATATTATATACATTTATATGATATACATTATATTTACATTACATTATATACATACATTATATTACATAATTTATATACATATTACTATATTACTATATTATATACATATATTATATTACATATATTAATAACATTATAGTATATTACATTATATTATATACATTTATATTTTATATTACATTATATTTTATACATTACATTATTTATATTGATATATTATATTATATTACATTATCTTTACATTAACATACATTATATTATATTATATTATTTATTTTTATATATTATTATTATATTAGATTATATGACGCAGTATATATATAGATATATATACAGATATACGTAGAGAGAGATGAGAGAGAGAGGAGAGAGAGAGAGATGGCGAGAGAGAGAGAGGAGATGAGAGGATAGGGAGAGAGAGAGAGAGAGAGAGAGAGAGAGAGAGAGAGAGAGAGATAGGCAGGCCCGGAGTTGTAATATAGGGGCCTGACTGATTACCAATATTAGTGCCTTACTAAAAAGCTAGTATAATACGCCCCAAAGCCCTATTCTATCTAGGTTTGAGGCCGAAAACTGGGTGTTCGTGCTTCTGGCTGTCAGGGCTTTCGGGTTTGTAGTTTCGCGCTGCGGCTTAAGGTTGAGATGTGTTTGGGCTTTGGGTTTTTTTGACATACTGGAGATCAGGAAGAAGGGAGATTGGGAAGCTAGTGCTGTAATCAGAGAGTACGAAAAGCCTACTTCGATCCCAAAGCCCTGAAAGTTGGACTCTTCCGAGGCGTGCTTGGACCTCTGCCGGGACACCACGGGCTGCGAGCAAGTGGCATCGTGACATGCACTTGCAGACTTCATCGAATATTGGGGTTGGGGCCTAAGCAATTACCAATACTACTTTGGGAGTTCCTTCTTCTAAGTATGGTGTCACCAAAACTCTATTCTAATTATTCAGGCCCCTATACTACGCTCTAAGCTTGTTGGCCTCCCAGCCTAGAAACCGTAGACCCCTTAACCTCTCAACGTAGGATTTTTGAAGTGGGCCTTCATGATCCCGAGGAGTGTTGACTAAGGCTCCACAACAAGCCGCAGACCCCAAAGGCCCTGAGCCCCCTATAAGCCCTAAGCCCCTGAGCCCTGAGCCCTAAACCCTAAACCCTAAACCCTAAACCCCTAAGCCCCTAAGCCCTAAGCACGAGCCACTCAGGTCTACCGGGATGGGTACTGCTACGGCATGAGCGAGTCCTCCGACGAGGACTGTCGGGTTCAGGGCTTGGCGTTCAAGGTCCATTTGGGTAGTTCTCCAAATTGGGGTCCCGTGGGTGCCGTACACTGTTTTGGGGAGGAATACGGGACCCAACTTTAGGGAACTACCCGTATGGATGAGGGTACCTTGAGGTGTATTATGGGTTCAGGATCTGAGGTTGAGGGTTCAAGTTTGGGGGTTTAGGGTCTAGCTGGACCCTGAATAACCTATCTCTGTTAAAGATTTACGTAACAAGAAATCATACTAAGGAGCTCTAAAGCGGGAGGCTCTTTACTTGGAGGTTCATGGTGAGTTACTCTCCCCGGGAGTGTATAAGTAGGGTTAAAAAGTACCCTACTGAGGGTTTTAGTTATACTTATCTTACTTATAGCTCATTTAAAACTACCCATGAACCTCCGTCCAAGTAGGGTCTTGCACGTAGGGCTTCGGGAAGTGTCGCAGACCTCTGGATCTGCTCCCGTGGAGCTCTAGGTTGCGGGGTGGACACTACAATTCCGCTTCGGGTTAGAGTAGGGGGGTTAAGGGTTTAAGGGTTTAGGGGTTTAGGGTTTAGGGGTTTAGGGTTTAGGGTTTGGGTTTCGGGTTTAGGCCAGGGATTCGGGTAGGGGGGTTTAGGGATAGGGTTGGGGTTTCGGGTTTAGGGATTCACGCTTTATGGTTTGTGGCGTCATCCAAAAACCCTGAACCCTAAACCCGAAGCCCTGAACTCTAAAATCCTAAACCCTAAAGCCGTACCCGAAGCGCTCCAGAAGTGTTCCAGGACCCTAAACCCTAAACTCCTTCAAGCCCTACATCCCAAGCTCTGAAATCCTAAACCCCAAAGCCCTACAAACCCTAAACCCTAAACCAGAAGTGTTCCAGGACCAGGATGGGCTGGGCGGCAGCAATGAGCACTACACCTCCGCCCACTGCACTTCTGCGCCTCCCGGACCCAAAAATTCCCAGCGCCCGTCCGTCAAGAACTAGACCTGAGATTGCAGGTTTTGTTTTTTCTAGGGTGTTTATGCAGGAAATAATTTAAAGTCTCAAAGTTTAGGGGGCTTAATTTTATGTGATGTTTGTTCCTTGATTGAGCGGCTCCCACCCCGGGCAGCGTCAACCCTAAAATCCTTTTTCTGGGGCGTTGATGTTGGGGCTACCGTTAGATTAAGGATTCAGAGATGTAGGTTTGTTTTTAAGACGTCTATGGTTGACGGAAGCTCCAGGAACACCATCGAGATGTGCGCAGCTGCGGCCTTGAACCTGCTCTTGGGCAGCCCTTGGGAGTTCGGGGTCTCTGCGTCTTAAGGGGGTCCATGGATCTTGATAGTTAGAATAGGGTTTGGGGTATATTATACCAGAAGTACAATAAGGGACGCTCAAATGATTCAGGCCCCTATATGACCTCCGTAGGAACTTGTTTCAGGCTTGAGTATATATTGTTTTTGGTACATGGACCTTACAGACGGGGATGCATGCAAAGGCAGCAAGAGATAAGCATTATTCCAGCTGAAGGAACAAGACACCTTCCCAGAACAGTCAAACCTCAAGAGATCGGTCATCCAACGCTTAAAACGAGACCACCTTGCACTTGGCGGCCTTCTGCGTTAATTCGGCAAACCCACTCGATAGCCCCGTAAGCTTCGAGGCCCTACACGCTAAGCCTTGAGACCCCCAAACCTTGAAATCGCCACACCTACCCTGAAAAAGCCCTCAGTCCCAAAGTCCCAAGAACGTCGAACACCCAACACCCTAAAGCCCGATCAAAAAAGCCGAAAAGCCGGTAAAAAACACAGGAAAAGCTTTATAGGAATTCCTTCACAAACCCGCCCCTCCCCCACCCCTTAAACCCTAAGCCCCGAACCCTAAACCCTAAACTCCCCCGCCCCGAGGTACACGGACGTGGAAATCCAGGGCTTCGCCTTTCCGAAGGCTCTGCAGGTGTCCCTGGACTCCAAGTGGCTGGAGGAGGGGCGTTGTGGCGTAGTTCTCTTCTCTTTTCTTGGGGGGGGTTTAGATTCTTGTTAGGGGTCTTGAGGTAGCATTTCTGTTTTGAAGGGGTTGTTGTGGTTTTAGAGATTTCTTGGCTCTAGGGGCTTTGGGCTTTTAAGGGTGTTCAGAGCTTTAGGGTGTAGCTCTCTTTCGGTTTCAGGGGTCTGTGGAGTTTGGGACTGAGGTTTAGGGCCCCTAAGCTCTAAACCCTAAACCCAAGTTAGGGTTTAGGGGTTTAGGGGTTTAGGGGTTTAGGGTTTAGGGTTTAGGGTTTAGGGTTTAGGGAAGCTGAGGCCTTGGTCTTGAGCTTGGAGAGCTCGCTGTGTCTTCTTCTCTCTCTCGGTTCAAGGCCCGCCTTGCGCGATGGCATAAAGCCAAGGCATGGGCACAACTGACTTCTTACCTTACCAGGCTCCTATATATATATATATATATATACATACACACACAGATAGAAATAGACATATAAATAAATACGAAAATTCATAAATGCATGTGTGTATATATATACATATGCATATTTGCATGTACAATATATATATATATATATATATATATATATACATATATATATATAGCAGACCCCCGAAGCCATACTCGGTTCTCGAGGTTAGTTTAGCTGTTTAGCTCACAGAGGCAGCAGTGCCATTGCAATGCACGGCTTTTTGAGGAAGTGCCACTGTTGGGAAAGGGCCTGAAGGTTGAAAGCCGAGACCACAGGTGTACTTGGAAGTTCATGGGTAATATAGGGGCCTTAATAATTAGAATAGGTTTTGGGGGGTATATTTTACTATAGTTGTAATATGGAACCCAGCTTTGGCGAAGGATGCCCTGGAAGATGCCATTCTGCTGGGCGCGCCTGGGCGAGAACCTGGGGACCCCAAGGTTGTTGGATTGAAGAGGAGAACGCCCGAAGCTCCGAGCAGCTGAAGCACTGCTGACCTTAGTGCAGCAGTAGGGCCTGTGGGTAGGTGACGTCGCTGTGGGTTTATTTTAGGCATCTAGGGTTTCATGGCCTTCTGCTGCAAAGCAAAGGGCAGGTTCTAGAGCCTGTGGAGCTGAATCCAGCTCAGGCACAAGCCATGATCGACATGATGATTGGCCCTGCTGCCGGCTTGCACAGTTTCGGAAGAACGGTTTAGGGTTTAGGGTTATGCAGCAACTTAAACCCCTAAATCCTCAACCGAAGGCCGCAGCAGCACCTGGAACATGCAACCCTAAACCCCAAACCCTGAACCACAAACCCTGAACCACAAAACCATTCAGAGAACCCTTTGTCCCAAACCCTAAACCTCGAACCGTAAAGCTCTAAAGCCTAACTCTGAAAGGGAACCCTAAGTAGCCAGACGCTCTTGGCTTTAGGCTGCTTGCATTCCGGGGGCCAACTACGCCACGCGCAAGATCTCGGAAGTGGCTCAGGGCGCGGTCGGCTTGGTGAAGGAACCGGGGCTTTCAGGGTTGTCACCGCTTGGGTGGTGTATTTGTCTGAGTCCTGGGTCTAGGGCATAGGGTCCCGAGCTTGGGTTGAGGGTTTAAGCACGGAGCTTTGGGCCTGAAGGCTGAGGGTGTTGGCGCATGTCTTTTTGTGTTGTGATTTGGTGGTTTGGCTTTAGACTGCCCAGGTTCTGACTCAACATCCCGCTCCCAACCCAATCGATAACACACACAGCTTCGGGCTCTTACCTTTGGGTAGTAATAGGGAATGGAGGAATGGGGTACAAGTATAACTACTATTACTACCATTCTTCAATTCCCTACTAACCAAAGGTTAGTACTCTCCAGGGCCTGATTCCTGATCTCAGCCTCGACTTCTCGACGCCCTCCATGGTGCTGCTGGCGCCCAAGAAGCTCAGCAGCCTTCGGCTTCTTTTGGGGCTTCCCAGCGACTCCAATACCCCTTCGTCAAGGAATATATCTTAAATTATAGTAGGATCCTTAATATGATTTATGGTAGAGATCCTTAATTAAGGGATCTTGGAGTTCCCTTAAGGGATAACGGAGTCTTTGGGGCTTCGGTGCTCTTGAGCTTTTTGGGGCCCCAGACCCGGCCAATCGGCTAAGCCCCGAGCGCTCCAGACCCGAGCCGAAGAAACTCTAGCCCCTCTAAACCCTACCCTAAGGGTCCAGGTATCCTTTAGAAACCCGAAACTCTACACCCTAAACCGTAAACCCGACACCCTAAACCCTATAGTAGAAGCCAGAAACTTGGAATATCATTATCGTAAACCCTTTATGGTAAATTACAAGGTATCCTACCCTGAAATCATATTCCAACTTTCTGGAGTTCCCTTTAAACCCTAAGGGTCCAGGTATCTCCCTAGAAAGGTCCGGAACCTCCAGGGAGAGTCCATGGGTCTCTTTGGGGTTTCAGAAACCCTGCATTTTGAGGGTCCCCAATTTGTTAGGACCCTTAGGGTAACCTCCCTGAAAAACCCTAACACTTAAACTCCTTGAAGCCCTAAACTCCCGAAAGCCTAAACTCTAAACTCCTTAAAGCCCTAAACTCCCTAAACTCTAGACCCTAAGCCCCTCCCAACCCCTAAACTTCCGAAGCCGTGAACTCTGAGCCCAGAACTCCACAAAAGGCCCCCAAGAAACCTCGAAGCCAAAAGATCCGACGAACCCTAAACCCTAAACCCTAAACCCTTGCAGCCTTGAGCCCCGAAAGCATGAAGCCAATGAAGCCCTTCAGTTCCTGACTTTCTGGGGGGGTTTCAGGGTTTCAGGGTTTCAGGGTTTCAGGGTTTCAGGGTTTCAGGGTTTCAGGGTTTCAGGGTTTAGGGTTTAGGGTTTAGGGTTTAGGGAGGGTTTCAGGGTTTTGGGGTTTGAGAGTTTGGGGCTTTAGGGTTTGAGCCATGACCACAAACTTGGGTCTAGGATAGTAGCCTTAAGAACCTTCAACACATCTAGAACCAACCCGAGACAAGGAAGCTCTTCTGCGTCGAGGCCGCCGGGAGGGAGGGGATGACGTACTGGGGTTCATTAGGGGTTGGGGTTCGGGTTTAGGTTTTGGAGTCTATTCAGCGTTTGATTGGAGTTTGGTGTGTAGGGTGGGTTTAGGATTTGGGTTTCTTGGGCTCGTGTCATGGGCTTTTGGGATTCTCAGAGACTCCACCTTTCCTCTACTTGAGGATCCCCTATTCAGGATGTTTACTGACGTCTGACGACTATTCTTGGATTTGAGGGTGTGGGTCTTTGTATTTACAAGCTGGCCTATGAGTGCTCATTACACAAAAACCCAACGTGGAAGTGCACATGAACCTGTGCCGTATCTCCACATATTTATTCCGTGGCATTGCAATGTGCTGAGTGTCTGAAGGAGGCGAAAGGCATGAATCACCTGGAAGTACGGCGTGAGGTATTGAAATGACGACTGGAATCAGTGCAGGACTGAAAAGCCCGATGCATGAATGAAAGTGTGATTGCATGCATGCTGCTATACCATGGGTACATGCATGTACTCATGACTGCGCCTGTGCGTGCTTTTGCTGCTTCTTCGTCTTTTTCTCTTTTGTTTGTTCTTCGTCTGCTTTGTTTTCCTCAGCGGGCAGCTAAGCGCAGACTTCACCCCTCCCCCCTCCCACCCGAACAAGCCTTCCCAAGCTCTTATGTCTGCACATGAGCTATGTTCCATCACACTCCTCCAACCACTCGAAACCTTATATGTTTTGCTAGAGGTCGCCAAAACGCCTGGCTTTGATACAGCACCTTGCAATGCTGAGCTCGGCTGCAGCCACGCAGGCCAGAGTTGGGTTTCGGTGGCCTCAATTCTTAGTAGCAGGGTGGATACACTTGACACTTTTTGGGATAATATTACTCAAAAACAAAACTGAAAGTGGGGCTTATGAAATATGCAACTAAGACTTGGCACTTCCCAAGAGCCACACCCTAAACCGCCCCTAGCCCACATGCTCATATGAAACGCCGGTTTCACTTTCAGCAAGGACGGGACCTTTGCATGGACATGGCTTTCACAGTGGATTTGTAGTTCGCAAAAAGAGCCTCCCCAAAAACGTCCCAAGCCACTTTCGTCCACTTCTGGGAGGTCGTGGCACGCCGCAGCTCGCACAGCAGAAGGACGTGGAGATGGAGGCCGGGGAGGATGAAGGGAGACTCCGTTTTCCAAGTCGTCGAGCTTGTGAGCTCTTGCCGAAGCAACTGCAAACTGCTTGAAAACGGCATGCCTAAAGGCAACCATATTATGTGCTGCAGAGATAGGCCAGGGTACAGGGGACATCTGTCAAGTCAGCAGTTGTGGCCTTCGTGGCCGTGGCCGAAATGCACAAAGATCTAACTTTCCGACAAGGTGCGCGAGGGGCCGAAATAATTAGCACTGCTATTTTGGGGGCTTCTTACTATAATTATAGTATAATGGGCCCCAAAGCCCTATTCTAGTTATTCAGGCCCCAATATTATTGCGTCAAACCCAGAACCCCAAACCTTTGACCCTAAACCCTGTTTCCCGCCGTCCAGGCAGAGCCCGCCGAACTGTTGCAGCTTGCTGGGGACGCTGCTCCCACGAGGACCTGCACCCGGGCCAAAAGAGGAGGAATATGGTATAAAGGGATCTATACGGGTACCTTGAAGGGGTTCCGTTTTGGGATCCATTGGGTTTTAGGGTGTATAGGGTTTAGGTTGATGAAAATCCTGCACCGCCTTAAGGACCCTAAACTATGGGAGTATTCCCTATTATGGGTAGTGCAGGAATTATATTGTCAACTGTAAGGTCTGCAGCGGTTTTGGGTGCCAGGGTTGAGAGCTTACGGCTCCTCCATGGCTGTCGCGACTGTTTAGGGTTTAGGGTTTAGGGTTTAGGGTTTAGTAATATTAGGGACACAAAAAGGGACCATAATTTTGATAACCACCCATGTCGAGAAGGTTCGGCGCGCTAGGAGATGTCCTCGCTGATTGGATAAACGGGAGGGTCTCGACCATGAAGGCGCAGGTTTCGCGCAGCGCTTCGGGTCCTTGTGATCAAGAACGGTGTCGAACATGTCTACGCTCGCCCTAAACCGCTGCCCGCAATCCCTGCTGCTCAGAGCATTCGGAGCGAACTCGCCCAGGCACTGTGTACAAGAAGTGGCGCATGCGCTGGCTTGGCAGTCATGTGGAAGCTCGATGTTCTTGAGCATTACTTTTGCCTTTTGCATGTGTGCGCTGCCAATCTTCAACCCCAAGCCCTAGTGCTGCGGCTGTAGTTTGGGACGCAAAACTTACAACCCCAAAGCCTAGATCCTGAACCCCCCGATCCTAGTGCCCCTGCCCCAGGCCCCAAGACCCCACACCCGAGAAGCCCCACATTTTTCAGGAAATGCCGTTGGGCTCTACGCCGTACGGAGCCAATGTAGGCACCTGGGAGGCCTGCTCCTAGGCTTCTCAGAGCAGATTTTCCTTCGAAGGGTCTTCAAACACAAAGTTCTCACTGGTAAAACACACACATTTACAACAACTCACGCATGCATGCATGGGTGTCCGGGTGGATGGATGGAGGGAGGGAGGGATGGATGGATGGATGGATGGATGGAGGGAGGGAGGGAGGGAGGGATGGATGGATGCGCACACAGTGTCACGTCGTCAAACCCTTGGAACTGACTTCCTCGACATCCCAGGTTTGGGTCTTTGCCAGACGACAGAGGGCTGCCGGCAGGCGGGCTTGGGCGGGTTTGAGGTGCAGGGTTTTAGGCTTTCATATATTGTATTTTATGTTATATTGTAATCTACTAATCTACTATATTATGTTATATTATATGATGTTATATTATGTTATATGATATTCTATTATGTTAGATTATATTATATTAGGTTATATTGTGTTATCATTACACTATTAGGCAGTAGGTTTTGGTGGGCAGGCTTCTGGCGTTTGGGTGCGAAGTTCAGGGTCAGCCATTTTCAGGGACTATACCAAGACCCCCCACGTGCCCTCTAATATACCCCAAATACCCACTATTAAGGGTCCTAGGGACTCGATTAAAGGGCCCTTGGTGGGTCTTGGTATGGACTTTCGATTTAACTCAGGTGGTCTACGTCGCTGGGCACTGCTACGGCATGAGTGTGGCGTCCAACGAAGACCAGGACAAGCTTCCAGATCGCAGCTCCCAGCACAAGAAGACTTCCGCCCACATCTCCGGTCTCTAAACCATAAACGGAAAGCCCCTAACCTTAAAGCCCGAACCCCTAAGCCTTGAATCCCTAAACCCTACACGCCTAAACCCCAAACCACAAATCCCGAGCCCAGAATGCAGGACGGCTTGGGCGGCCACAACGATCTTTTCACCTCCGCCCACTGCATCGGTGCCGAGCGACACTGCGACATCTTCCTGACGCTTGGATTTTTTTGAGCCTGAAACAAAAGCCATGAGAATGTAAGCGTCCCAAGTCCCAAGCTCGAGCACCCCAAGCAACAATACAACCTACACCTTGGGACCGAAAGCCAGAGTGCTTGAGGTGTAGACGGTCCGCCACTTGCAGCGAACTTGTAGAGGGCCTTCGGAATCCGCACCGAGGCGTTCCTAGTTTTCGGGTCTCTGCCAGGGTTTTCATCCAACAAAAAGACCAGATCATCGCAGTTCCAAAAAGTGGGACTTTCCGGAAATTAGGGGGGTCCCTTACTTGGGGAGTCCTAATAGTAAGGATCCTACTCTTCAGGGTACTATATATAAAGATATATACATACATATATATATATATATATATATATATAGGGTCCCCTATTTTCGGAAACTCCCAAGTATCATGGGCCGTGAGCCCTGGAAAGTTCTTGGATTACCCCGGAGGGTCTCTAAATAAAGGATCATGGTTCTTCGTAACGTAAAGGTTCCTTAAAGAGATCCATAAGGAATCTATATGGGAATTAGGGTTTAAAGGATCATGGGACTTAGTAACTAGGGTTGTTATTCGGGTAATGATACTTATAACCACTTCTAGCCCCAATTAGGTTACCTATGACCTTAGTTACCTAAGTCCCATGATCCTCCAAGTAGAGGGTCCTAGAAGAGGGCTCGGTAGCCTATGAAAGGGGTAGGGTTTTCTGCCTCCAGGCATGGTCCCGCATCCTGGCATTGGTACTCTAGGCGCCCCGCATCTCCATGCACAGGGTAGGTGGATGGGTACCCTAAAGCCTAAACCGATGGATGGTTCCTTCGGACCTCCATTATAGAGCCTATAGTATTGGAGCGTTTACCATACCCTACTTTTTTCAAGCAGCGGCCTCTGTGTTGGAGCTTGAAAGACCCTGCCCAGGAACTGGCGCATGGTCATGGTCCCGGGCTCCGGCATCAGTGTCCCGGCGTTTTTTTGCTTGTGGCATGAGGGCTCTCGGATGCGGTTCAGGGCTTAGGGCTTTTCCTACCTTGGGGCTAGTAGGGAATGGAGGAATGGGGTAGAATTATAATTACTATTACTACCATTCTTCCATTCCCTACTAACCAAAAATGAGTTTGGTGCAGGGTCAACTTGGACCCCAAGGAACCTACGTTTTTTAGGGCTCTTTAAGATACTTTCTGTATATAAGGGGCTAAGGAAGGGCTTAGGATTGGAGGCTTAGAGCCATGTTCTTGGTGCTTTCTGTGGTTGGCTGCTGGTAGGATTCATGGATTCCGACCCTGACCGGCAATCCAAACTCGTGAATTGCAAGATTTGCAAGCCCCGCAATCACAACTTGCACGTATATGCCTCAACCTTTGGGAAACCTCTCTACCCTAAACCCGGCCTAGTCTAAAGAAATAAAGAAAACCATCGAATGAGTTTAGGTGCTAAACCCTAAAAGGAATAGGTTTGGGTGGTTTGGCCGCCTTAGACGGCGTGGGGTGGGAGAGTTAAAAGAAAGAGCCATCCACCATCAGGCTCCAACAGCTAATCGTCATATTACGACGCACTCGACAATACACTGTCGCAAGCTACTTCCGCTTCTGCGCCACTCTACGGCAAACCCTAAACCCTAAACCCTAAACCCTAAACCCTAAAGCCAGGCCTGGGCAGCCTCCCCTACGGAGAGTTCAGTGGTGGCTGGTTCCGCTGCCTGGAGCTCTGCAAGGAGACGCCGGCCTGCCAGCAGGCCTCGGGGCCCGAATAGAGGGCTCCTTAAAGGGATCTATTGGGCTCCTTAAAGGGATCTAAAGGGGCCTAAATGGTTTAGGGTTTAGGGTTTATACGATCTTCGAATATACTGTAGTGGCCCAAACAATTACCAATACCATTTCTGGGGTTCCTTATGATAATTCTGGTATAATGCGCCCCAAAACCCTATTCTAATTATTCAGGCCCCTATATTAGGGGCCTAAATAATTAATTACCAATACTACCTTGAAGGCTTTTATCTGAAACCCTTATAAGCTATAAGACCCTGTACCTTAACCCCCGAACCCCAAGCCCCAACGGACCAGATCAGCAGGTCACCTACACCGCGGAGGGGCGGTGCTTCGGCATGGGCGCTCGTACCCACCAGGCTCGGGGTGCTTGTGTGTTTTGGGGCTGAGGGTTTTGGGTTTAGGGCGCAGCAGTTGGGCTGTTGGTTTCCCACCTTGAATTCATACAGGAGTCCGGTGCAAGTCGCCGCCGTAAGGTTTGATTTGCTTCTGTGGGCGATCATGCCTTGCAGCAAGCCGTGTCTAATGCTGCATAGCGATGAATCTGCTTTCCTCATCACCAGCAAGCAGGCTTTGAAGACCCCAGAACAACTTACACCCTAGACCCCTAAGCAGTAACCCTGACGATGATCCTTAATTGACGCCAGACTACAGGAGCCGAAATCTTTACCAATACCATTGTGGGGGCTCCTGGCTATAATTATGGTATGGTGGGCCCCAAAACCCTACTCCAATTCTTAAGGCCCCTTAACCCTAAACCCTAAACCCTACTCTAATTCTTAAGGCCCCTTCACCCTAAACCCTAAACCCTATTCTAATTCTTAAGGCCCCTTAACCCTAAACCCTAAACCCTACTCTAATTCTTAAGGCCCCCTAACCCTAAACCCTAAACCCTACTCTAATTCTTAAGGCCCCTTCACTCTAAACCCTAAACCCTACTCTAATTCTTAAGGCCCCTTAACCCTAAACCCTACTCTAATTCTGATGGCCCCCTAACCCTAAACCCTAAACCCTACTCTAATTCTTAAGGCCCCTTCACTCTAAACCCTAAACCCTACTCTAATTCTTAAGGCCCCTTAACCCTAAACCCTACTCTAATTCTGATGGCCCCCTAACCCTAAACCCTAAACCCTACTCTAATTCTTAAGGCCCCTTCACTCTAAACCCTAAACCCTACTCTAATTCTTAAGGCCCCTTAACCCTAAACCCTACTCTAATTCTTGGCCCCCTAACCCTAAACCCTAAACCCTACTCTAATTCTTAAGGCCCCTTCACTCTAAACCCTAAACCCTACTCTAATTCTTAAGGCCCCTTAACCCTAAACCCTACTCTAATTCTTAAGGCCCCTTAACCCCAAACCCTAAACCCTACTCTAATTCCCAGCCTCCCAAGCCGGAGTGTTTCAAGTTGGTCTCAGGATGCCAATGGCCTCGCCGGGACCAACTGGGGCTTCACCACCGCCCACTGTTACGGCGAGGCGGGGCCTCTCAAGCTTCCAGGGACTCCAATATCCCTTAATTAAGGAATATACCTTAAATTATAGTAGGACCCTTGTAGCAGTTGTGGTAGTAGTAGAAGTAGGTAGTCGTACAAGTAGTAGTGGAAGTAGTAGTAGTCATAGTAAGATGAGGAGTAGCAGTAGCAATAACAGTAATGGTAATAATCATAGTAATAGCAGCAGTAGCAGTAGCAATTTTACTAGTAGTAAAAGCAAGAGTAACAGTCATAGAAATGGTAATAGTAATAGCAGTAGTAATAGTAATAGCAAAAGTAGTAAGAATAATGATAAAAGTAATGGTGACAGTAATAGTACTCGTACAAGTAGAGTACTGGTAATAGAAACAATAATAGTAATCGTGATAGAGATAATAATCGTAAGAGTACTAGTAATAATACTAGTAGTAGTGACTTAGTAGTGATAGTAAGTGTAATATCGTAATAGCAATAGTAATAGCCGCAACAGCAATAATAGTAGTAACAGTATAATAACGGTAAGGGTCAGAATAAGATTAATAGTAATAATAACAGTAACAGTGATAGTCATAGTAAAAGTAATAGCAATGGTAGTAATAATACTAGCACTAGTAGTATAATATTCATAGTTAGAATAATAATAGTAATAGTCATAATCATAGTTACTATAATTTAAGGTATATTCCTTAATTAAGGGATATTGGAGTCTCAAGCTTCTTGCTGGGCACAGCAACAGCACCAACAGCCTGCAAAACCCAGCATTTCCGAGGGCCTTTAAAATGAAACCCGAAACCCCTAAACCCTAACCCCTAAACCCTAAGCCCTAAACCCTGAGCCCTAAACCCTAAAGCCCTTTAGCTTTAGAGGTCAATCCGAAACCCGAAACCGTTTAGGGCTCCGGGGCTCCGGGGGGGCTCGGCCGTGAGGTGAGCGGTCCGTCCGTGGTGATGCAGAGCCCGGGCTGCCCGAATGTGCGCCTTGCTTGGGATTTGGGGCGTACGATAGGGGCCTTAATGGTTACTCTAGGGTTCCTTTAAAGGGGTCTATAAGGGTTACTATAAGGGGATCAATTGCAGGGTTCTATAGTATGGGGGGCCTTAATGATTACTTTTTGCAATTTTAGTGGATTCCTGATTATAATGTGCAGTGTAATGGGCTCCGAAACCCTATTCTAGTTTTTAGGCCCCTAAATTAGGGTTCCGGGTTTGAGTTTAGGGGCTGTGGACTTTGAGGTCTGAGGCTATGGCCTGTGGGGCTTGAGAGTGCTGTAGGTTGAGGCCTCAGAAAAATGAATGGCTCACGAAGAAGCACTCACCCAGGGCCATGCAACTGAGGTGCCGAGCTGGACTAGCTTGCTTCGAAGCTTAAATCCGCCCACCAAATCCAATCCTCAACCCCAGAACACCCAACGCCTAAAACCCTTGTGCATCAAGCCATGAAAATTTACGAAATACAGTTATTGTGGCTTAGGGATTTAAAACTCCAACTCCAACAAAGCCTCCGAGGTTCATGGGAGATCGGTTTTTGGACCTGGGCCCGTGGCGCCTGGCCGCCTGGGACGACAACCATCTCTCCATTGCCCACAAGACGGGTCAGGCGGGCTTTTGGGTTTAGGGTTTAGGGTTTAGGGTTAGGGTTTAGGGGATTTTGGTTGTGAAGGTTATCGCTTTCTTCATGATTATCATTATCATTAGCATTTTTACTACCCTGACTTTAGTGTTTTTTCTCTCAGTGGCGGGGTGCAAGGTTCTTTTGGGGCTGCTGGGTTAGAATCTGGTCTTTCGACATCAAGGAGTTTGGATCTAGGGCTTTAGGGTTGTGATGTTCTCTTGCAGGTGTCCTGTAACGCGAAGCGGACATGATGCGTCGGTGAGCTTCTTCGGGCTACTTCCCAGAGTGCTTAAGCTACATTCCTCAACTAATAGTAGTCCCTATATACTCCCCAATACTAGCCCCCCATACTCCATTCCCCCATTCCCTGCGCCTCAACCAGACCAGGCTGTTGCTTCATATTATGATTTAAGCTATATTCCTGAATTAAGGGGTATTGGGCTCTCTGGGTTCCCAGAGTGCTTTAAGGTACATTCCTTAACCAGACCAGGATCTAGGAACTCGGTGCCTCGAGCCCTTGAGGGCTTGAGCCTGCTCAGGGCTTCAGGGCTTTGAGGGTTTTTTTGGTCCGTCGAGGTCTGGTGTTTCCAATTTACCGGGTCTTGTTTGGGATTTTCTTGGGGCCCGGTCCCTAAGACCAACAGGGATCCCTACAGTAGTCCCTAAAAAAAATCCCCAAGAATAGTCCCCATACTCCATTCCCCCATTCCCTACTGACAGAAGACCTCAGCCCTGCGCCTCAACCAGACCAGGCTGCCATCGTCTTCCGCAGCGACGGGGTGGTGCCGCTTGGCTGGGGAACAGAGTCCAAGTGAGCCTCACGCCTCTCCCAACCCCACACGCCCACTCTGAAAGATTTCCGACTCTTGGCGGAGCTATCCCGGAACTTTACAGACCACTTAAGACTTAGCCCGACGAGCGGTGGATGCGACAACGATGGCTGCAGGTGGGGTGGGAGGAGGCTATGTCGAATCCTGAAGCCGACGCAACAACTCGGTGAGATATCTCGTTTGCGTACCCGTGAAAAATTCGAAACACTCCGTGTCGCTAGTCGTTCCTCTACCGATGCGCTTCTGGAGACCCAGCAAGACTCAATTGAGGAAAGCTCTTGAAAATCTGTTCGAGCCATCTCGGCCTGCTAGATTCCAGAACTGTCCCCAAAGCTGTTTCGTTCGCACGACCGCTGCGCCGGGAAGCTCACCTCGGAAATTGGGAGCTTGGTCACTTAGTGCCCTGAAGCTCAGAACTAGTTTGTATCACACGATGGCTCAGGCTCCACCAGCGGACGGATCTTCTGGCCTTCAGCCGCCCCGTCGCCCCGCCGAAAGGCAGGCACCGTCGAAGACCCAATTCAGTGACCCTTTACCCCAACCGGAAGCCCAGCTTTTCTGCCTTGAAGCTTCCTGTCTACGACTCCAGAGCCTCAAAGGCTTGAGCCCTCAAGCTTTATGGCTTTTTCCCGCTGCCCAGCCCCCGACGCCCTCCAGGCATCAAGTTCGGCTTCCAGTTCATCCAGATCGGAGAATTCCGGCTGGGTGCAGTGAACGACAACCACTTCTCCATCCAGCACTCCGGTGGAAACACCGTGCAGGTGGCGCGGGGATGCGTAGGCCACCTAGGAAGAAGTCGCGCTGCAGCCTCCAAATCGTACCCCCAACTAGTGCAGGGGCCTAAATATGTACCTATACTATTTTGGGTACTCCTGATTATAATTCTAGTATAATGGCCACCCAAACCCCATTCTAATTTTTATGAGGCCCCTATATCATAGAACCCTACTATAGATCCCTTATAGTAACCCTTAAAGGACCCCTCAAACAGGAACCCCATTCAAATGATTTAGGGCGCCTAAACCCTAAGCCTTAAGCCCTAAACCCTAAACCCTTAAAGGACCCCTATTCTAATTATTATGAGGCCCCTATATCATAGAACCCTACTATAGATCCCTTAGGGCCCCTTTCGTTAGCCTCCAGAGCCGACGCAAACTCCAGGCCTTCGGCTCAGATGGCGCCGTCTACCCGGGGCCCCTGGAGGACTTTGGGCCTCTCGGCTGCTTCGTCGAGGAAACTATACTTGGAGGGTCGGGGGACTTAGTAAGTAGTTATTTTAGGGACTTATAAGTACCATAACCCCAATTAGGTTCCCTTTTAGGGTACTTATAAGTCTACTTACTACCTACTTACTAAGTCCCCCGACCCTCCAAGTAGGTTTCCCTCCCAAGGTGTGGGGTTTAGGGTTTAGGGGCGTTCGGACAAGCACTAACCTATACACTCCGGAAAAGCCCAAAACCGTCACACCACCGGGAATTTTGTGGTGTTTTGAGCCTAGGACGTTCGACCGCCCGGTCATGGCGGCCGAGGGCGTCAACTTCGGCGATGGCCCCCTGCGCTGCACCTGGCCGGTGTGCTGTTCAGGGTTGCTGTGTTGGGCTAAGTAGGGACGTAGTGATGCGAAGCTTCCCGTGTAGGAGCCCTCATAGTATCCCTTATAGGAACCCCAACCCCGACAGGAACCCTTTCGTAGTCCTTATTGTAGGAGCCCTTGTCGTAGCCTTTATGGTAGTAGTAGAATCCCAGATGAGGCTTTCTCCAGATGGGCCGCTTCCGCCTGGTTGTGATCGGCTCTGATTTGGTTCTTTCTCACGGCAGTGGCAGCACCAACCAGGCCCGCATTACGGGTCTTGGGGGGTCTTGTCAGAGTCTGAGGCTGCATTGATACGTTCTGCAGAGCCTTTCCAAGCACCGTGAAGCAAGCCTTCGTTTCTTCACGGGTGCTATGCAAGTGGTTGGTGCAGTTTCCTGAAACCACTCCCAACAAGTCTTACAACCTCGTCCTGACAGGTGTGGAAGTCCGATGGCACTGCGCAGCCCGCCTCAGGGAGCCCGCATCTGGTAGCCGCCCTGCAGCCTGCGCCGTGGACCTGCAAAGATCTGCAGGAGCCAGTAGTAGTTAGTATTACATGGGTCACTCTAAGGTTGTTACTATGATCCTAGCTTTGAGCCCGGCAGACAACTGGGAAAGATCCCCAAGCTTCTTCAAATACCCCTTCTGGCTCCCTTGAAAGGAAGCCTTTTGGCACCCCTCCTAGACCCTTCCTCAAGTATCTTAATGAATGGTATCCATGCTCCTTACAGTCTATGAATGGCTAGCTGAAGCAAGTCACTGCCGGCTTGGGGCTTTGGGTTGTGGAGTTTACTTAGAGGATCATGGGACTTAGTAAGTAAGGTTATAAGTACCCCAATTGGGGTTATAAGTATAGTTACCCTAATAATAACCCCAGTTACTAAGTCCCATGACCCTTTAAACCCTAATCCCCCATAGATCCCTTATAGATCCCTTTATAGATCCCTTAAAAGGAACCCTTTAAGTTACTAAGTCCCATGACCCTTTAAGTATGCCTCAGGTGCAGGCCTGGGGTTCGGGGTTTCGAAAGCCTAACACTGAGCAGGAGCTCGCCTTCGGCGCCTGCGGTGCCTTCGGCGCCTTTGGCGACCGCTTTGTGGAGCACACCGGGCAGCATTTCAGAGGATCGGCCGTTGTTTTGTGTACTGTTCTGCGGGTTTTCAAACTCTTGAATGCATGTGTCAGAATCCGACGAGCTTCAATCACAAGCTGAAGCCTTAGAGGTCCTAGAGCGTCAAGCATGCCTGAATCCTGCATGCAGTTCCTCGTAACCCAAGCCAACATTACTGAAAAAGCCCCAAAGCCCCCAAGCTCACAATCCAGGCTCGGGAATTGGCGCTTGGCGGCCATTGATGCGACACACTTGAGCATCTCTCACAAGGGCGGACAAACGCCACAGAATCCGGGAAGCACATTCAAAGGAGTTGAAGTCTAGGCAATGTGCGGAAGAGCAGCGACATCGAAGTCGTCAAACACTGGTCATACGTTTGCCTCCTTGTCAGCTCACTCCAAGCCCCGACTGCTGGCAACGCCAGGCCTGAAATACATGTCAACTTACTCAGAGCTCACTGGGCCCTGCGTGGGATCAAGCTGGGCCTTTCTTAGGTTCAAGGTTCCAACAGAAGGGGTTTTAAAGAAGTTTCGTCGAAGCCTTCTTCGAAGAGTCCTATGCCGGAGGATCTACCGCGCAGACGGCGTGATGATCCCGGGGCGGCACGACTACAGCGCCTGGCATCGACCGCTGCTGGCTGGGGATGAGTACTGTTGTTCGTTCGGGTTCCTTATGAGAATATATGCTATGGTTCTATCAGATATATCCTCCAAGCCCAGTTCTACTTATTATAATTCTAGCATAATGGGCCCCGAGACCCTGTTCTAATTATTATGGCCCCTGTAGTATACCGTGAACCCCCATTCTGTAATTTCAGACCCTTCAAGACCAAAATGACCTCTCTCCCTCAACCCTAAATCCCATCAATATCGGGTATTTTCATATCCCCAAAGCCCGATTCCACGATCTCAGACGCCTCGAGACTGCATGACTTCGGGGGATCCTTATTGAAATCAGAATGAAAACGGAGCCCAAAACCCTATCCTAAATATGAAGGCCCCTATATTACATGTCTTCTCTCTGGCGGCCCAGGAAAGGCTTTCCCTCCGGCATCGTCTTCGGCAGCCGCTTCATTCAGAACCTTGGGCGTCTCTTGTAGGGGCTTCTCTTATCCCTTGTTATGGTGTCAGTCTTTTCTTTCGAAGGGCGGGGGGGTTGTGGTTGCGGGTATGGTGCTGTTTTATGAGTTTTGTTTCTTCTGGGGTGTGGTCTGGGCTCCAGGTTTTGCAGGTCAGGCATGGGATCTTGGCAGCGAGATCTCGACTCCCAAACCCGCATCCACTCAATATACCTACCCGGAGCTTAACGGAAATTCTGAATCTTGCACCCCCCCCCTCCCCCCAACGCTCAACATCCAAAACCCGAAGCTTCAGAGCACCGCGAAGCCTTCGTCTCAAGTGCATAACTCTTGGTAGAGCTGCTACACCTCTGCGCCTTACACTTGGTCCTCCCGAGAACCCGAAAGCGCCCTAAGTGCACTCCTTGAGCTCTAAACCCCAAACCCTAAAACTTAAGCCCTAAACTCCATAAGCCCTAAACCCTAAACTCCTTAAGCCCTAAACCTTAAAACTTAAGCCCTAAGCCCCTCAAGCCCTAAACTCCTTCAGCTCGAACTCCTCCCTTCGGCGAAGCCGAAAAAGCCCAACTTGGAGGATCACGGGACTTAGTAAGTAAGGTTATAAGTATCCTATGTGGGGTTATAAGTATAGTTACCCTTAGTAATAACTCTACTTACTAATTCCCATGATGCTCCTTATAAGAACTCTTATAGAATCCTATAAATCCCTTATAGATCCCTTTAAGGAACCCTTTAAGGAACCTTACTTACTAATTCCCATGATCCTTTAAACCCTAAGACCCCATAGATCCCTTATAGATCCCTTTAAGGAACCCTCTATAAGTTACTAAGTCCCATGATCCTCTACGTAAGAAGGATTGGAAACTTCCGGCTCGGGGACGCGGACGGGCACCACTTTTCCATCTCCCACGAGCTCTTCGGGTTTTGAAAAACAGAATCAGTGGGGTTTACGGGTTTAGGGCTTAGGGGTTTAGGGTTGTAGGGGTTTAGGGTTTAGGGCTTGGGGGTTCAGGGTTGTAGAGTTTGGGGTTTAGGGCTTTGGGTTTAGGGTCGAGCTCTTCGGCCGCAATATTCATTGGGGTTTAGGTGTTGGTAATATAGAAGCCTCGAGCGATTATCGAACACCATTCCGTAGGTAGTAGAATATGCCCCAAATCTTGTTTCCAACTATAAAGACCCCTACAGCATTGGAAGTGGAAGGTTTTAGGGATTTGTGTTGGCGGGCTTTGGGCCTCTTGCGCGGGACCTTTGAGGATTGTCACCTAAACCCCGATCCCTGAAGCCCTAAGCCCTAAGCTGCGCCAGGAATGGAATCACCATCCAAATCTTCCGCAGCGACGGCAGCCAGGACCCAATTGCTTCGACTCTCCCTCCGAACCCTGAGCCCGATCCCCTGTGCTATGGAAGCCCAATACTTGCTGATACTCGTCCTGAAGGTTCCTAAGGTTTTTATGGTATAACATACCCCCAAACCCTATTCTATGTCGTAAGGCCACTAACAATCATAAATCATAAAGAAATCCCGAGGCACACTGCACCCTGGCCCGCGGCACGAGCTGAATCTCTGGTCGCGCACAGCAGGTCCACCTCAGGCAAGGCTGCTTTTGGTGCCACCTTCCTGACTGTCAGTTTTCGTTTTTTCGGGTTTCCTGTGGAGCTAAGGGATGTCTGAGGGTATGTCGATTGGAAACGAAAAACGACATGCTGCGAATTGTGAACGCTTTGCGTCGTCCGCCTCGGCGGGGTAGCAGGTGCAGGGCCCAATTAGCAAGTTCAGCACGAGACGACGAATGTGGGCGTGGGGAGCGGGTTGGGGGGCAGTTTACTCAAAGAGAGCTTCGGCCACTTCGGCCGGGGCCGAGGCGATTAAGGTTGCCGCAATAATCAATAGACATTTTCGTATCATATGGTTTAACACATAATCCAATGTAGTACAGTTATAGTGGAAAATAGTGTGGAATAGTATATTATAGTATAGTATAGTATAGTATATTGTTTTTTAATAATGGTTTCTGTGATCTACTGCAACATACTATAAGATGATATTCTATAGTGTGACATCGTAGAGTAGAAAATGTATAATACAGCATTCTACAGAATTATTCTATTCCGAATCTTTTGTTGGATTGTACAATGGTAAATTATGTTGTGTTATGCTATTTTATGTTACCATATGTTATGTTATACTATGTTCGATTATGTTCTATGATGTTGTATTATGTTCTGTTATGTTCTAGTCTGAGATCTTTACATGCATCAGTTCAGAAAGGTTTCTCCACAACGCAAGGAGTATTGCTGCATTGTGAGGTACTGGGTTCTTCGGGTTATGCCGTCGTGAATGCAGAGCTTCATGTTCCACTCTGAACAGAAGTTGACAGCAGCTGTCGTCGACTTCCGCAGAAGGGCATCCACAGACGGGGGTATTTTGCAGGGATTCCCGATACACCAATATGGGAGTTTCCGAAAATTAGGGGTAGCTTATTTGGGGGTCCTTATAACAAGGATCCTACTATTTGGGGTACTATATGAGGGTCCCCTATTTTCGGAAACTCCCATATCTACCATAATAAGCTTTCCATAATCCACCATGTTTTGGTTACTGCAGGAAGCCCCCGAGCCTGATTGACGAGTTTGAGTAGCTCGTTCAGGAGGGAGCTTCCTCTCAGATAAGACATGCTACTGGGAATACTGTAGTAGGGTGACCATAGCATACTGCAAAACATGTGACTATGATATACCACAGTAAGATCAGTAAATATACTGGTTGCGGATGCTCGGGATTGGTAGGCCAGAAATTTTTGGAAGCAGGCTGCACGGTGTAAGCGTAAGCGAAGCCAACGAGTCTGAGGGTGTACAGCTCCATTCACAGGGTTGTGGCCTGGTTTCAGCAGGCAGGTGCTGAAATATGCATTTGCTGCATTCTAGCCTTTCTTGAGTATCTCTCGTGTTGGGGCTCGATTTGGAGGGAGCAAGTCGGCCCACCCGCGGTGAGGCTGTCGACCTGTTCTTTCACGACTGCCAGCTAAAGCACTTAATACGTGCGCACGCCGCATCGACATTAGCACGGCGGTGCCATCTGAAAGCGTGTGATGCACGGGAGTTGACTTCAGGAGACATCCGCAACCGAAGTTCTACCAGTGTTTTTTGTCACAGACGTGCTGCTGAGACATGCTGCACATGCAGGCCCTTATTGAGTTTGCTTGATCGGATTGTGGCGAGGGCTGGGTGCCTGAGAGCTTTGAAAGATCTGGGGCCACACGCTTTGTCAAAATTTTTCGCGACATCGTTTCGTCTAAGTAAACTGATAACTGCCAAACCGATACAACTAAGCTCAGCTTTAGTCGTGCCGGACCTGCCCTGTACAAGCTTGGCAATTTGCCTTACGACGCGGTTCTTCAGTCTGAACTTCTACCTACGCGCCGGTGCGAGCTAGCCTTCATGAGACCTTATGAGACCTTACATTGCCACGTCGGCATGCAACATGAGGAGGTTCGTTCAAGAGCTTTAGTAGTCGGGCGTCAGCCGAAACCTTCTGCCGCTTGCGTGTGTCTGTACAAATAGCGGTTATGGGTTGCTACACTCGGGGAATTCATGGGGCCATGTCACCCGTATTGATGGATCCCAACCCCCAAGCGCCATATGGGAGTTTCCGAAAATAGGAGACCCGAATATAGCACCTAAATAAATAGTAGGATCCTTATTATCAGGACCCCAAATAAGATACCCCGAAGTTTCGGCAACCCCCATATCGGTGTATGAAGTTGCAATCTTTGCAGTTCGAAGCCCGAATGCTCGACAGGGTATCACTTTCGGGGATCGTTTCTTGGAAATTGGCCTGTGGCGCTTTGCAGATGTGTCTGGCCAGCATTGTGGCAACTTTATGTGTGTGTGTGTGTTATAGTGGCAGACAAGCATTGGGTTTTTTGCGATGCAGCATGCAGGAACACGGTTCATCGGTTTTTGTTGCGTGGTGACTAGTGAAAGCGGATGGAGCTGCAAGTCAATACTTTCCCAGTTGCCTTGGGCTTGTGCTTTCCCACCGGCCAGCATGTTCAAACTGTTGAGCCCAGTGCCTCGCACTGCATTGTTGGTCAGAACTGAAGTTGTAGCCACGCCGGCCGATTGTTCATTCAAGATGTAGCTTAGGTGGACGGCGAGCATTTCGCGCTTTCGCAGGCTCGGGCTGGCATTAAAGACCATGGGTCGAGATATGTTTTGGTGACAATTTCCGAACTCGGCACGAGCCGCACGTTTGATGTGCCGCAATTACGTATCCTCTCCAATTCAGCCTTCTGCCAGTTCCGAGTGTTTGTACGACCAATCTCCTCCACATACACCTGATCAGCAGAATACAGATTTTATCATCGAACTTCAGCTGCTTTCCGCAACGCATCAACAAAAAATATCAAACAGCCTAATATTTGCCACTACCATACGACCTTTACTACATCCCATCTTCAAAATTTATTGCTGGATTCCTCAGATACATGTGAACCAACAGTCCGTCATTCTGATGGTCGTAAGGCCAAAACAAACGAAGTAACTTCAACAGGTAACTACTTAGTAACCTTGCAGGCCAATCTGCGACGATTTCTGATTAAACAAGGAAGTACTGACTTGTGATTCAGTAGAAGCAGCAACGTCGTGGGAGTAGTAGCAAGGTCAGCAGCACTAATGTGAAACTAAACCCTAAACCCCTAAACCCTAAACGGTCAATACCGAAGCTGGTCCAGGCGGGAGGGCAGACGGCTCAAATCTTCCGCAGCGACAATCGGCTGTTCCCGGGACCGAACGCGCACTGGACCGGCGTGTTCGACAGGTTCGGCTGGGGCTTCGGTTGAGGTTGGAAGGCTTCGGACGATGTCTGCGACGATCAAAAAGCCCGACTGAAACCCTAAACCCTAAACCCCTAAACCCCTGAACCTCCAAACCCCTAAACCCTAAACCCCTAAACCCCTAAACCCTAAACCCTAAACCCTAAACCCTAAACCCTAAACCCCTAAACCCCTTATCCCCTAAACCCTAAACCCCCAAACCCTCATCCTTTGGTGGTGTTGTGTGTGCTCGAATCTGCCTCGCGGGGCCCAACCAGGGCAAAAGGCTTCGGCTTCGGGTTTGGCAACATCTCAGGCACAGATCCATAATGTAGCAGGTTTAGGGGTTTAGGCTTTAGGGTTTAGGCTTTAGGGTTTAGGGTTTAGTGTTTAGGGTTCGGGCTTTAGGGTTTAGGGTTTAGGCTTTAGGGTTTAGGGTTTAGGGTTTAGTGGTTAGGGTATGGGCTTTAGGGTTTAGGGTTCAGGCTTTAGGGTTTAGGGTTTGGGCTTTAGGGTTTAGGGTTTAGGCTTTAGGGTTTAGGGTTCAGGCACTCATCCATACTGTAGCAGGTTTAGGGTTTAGGGTTCACGCACAGATCCATAATGTAGAGGTTCGAGAAATTATTCCCCAACTCATAAAGGTTGTCGCATGCCCGAAAAACCCTAAGTATTCGAAGTATGGAGGCCCCTGTACTAGCCGAAACACAAAAGCGGAGGATCTGCCAAGCCCTGTGCAACTTCCGAGAAGCTTCTTAAGTCCCCGAGAGCAGGGTGAAACATACCCAATGAGGGCCTTTAGGAGATTTTGGCGTGGTTTTGGGAATGGTCATAGAAAGCTTACTCAGTTGAAGGTTTTCGTTTTCGGGCTTTAAGCCCCAGGGTTTCGGTTCGAAGCGACAGGTATCCCGAGTACCACTGCGGCTCCATCCACTCCGTTTTTGGATCCTGCACCGGGCTTGTCACCGGTGATCGGTTCATCCAGCTCCTCTGAACCAAAGTTGTCAGGGCAGTACCCTAAGGCCCCAAAGTAGTTCCTTTTTGTTGTTCAAGAATCCTATAGGGTATTCCCAAAAAGGAACCACTTTGGGGCCTCTGGGTAACATGGTTGGAAACACGCAGCAAAGCAAGACCCTGCGTGCAACGCCGCTCCTCTGAGGTTGGGAGATTGGCGCCTTGCCGACATCGATGCTGGGTTCTTGTTAGAAGATGTACTTTAAGCTACCATAGTAAAAGAAATCATATTATTTGCTGTAGATCCCTAATATGGTAACTTTACTAAATCCTATTTGCTATAGATCCCTAATATGGTAACTTTACTTAAATCCTTGAGCAAGAATCCAGGATGGCAACCACTTCTCCCTGTCCTGCAAGACGGGGCAGACTTCCCAGGTCTCCTGTCTGTGGCGGCATCGGAATTCAGGGTTCAGGGCTTGGGTCTGGATTTTGTAGTATAGAAGTAGTAATAAGAATACACTAACATCAATAGTAATAAAATAGTAGCAACATTAATAGTAATAGCAATAATCATAATACTAATAGTAAGGAGCCCTCAGGGATATGTCGGAGTCATATCGGTGCTGCGGCTAAGGGTTCAAGCATTCGGGCTACGTCAGCTGCGCAGGCAATACAAGTCTTACGTTGAACATTGCAGGTGTGTTGCTTCTGAGCTTGGACGTCGCCAAGCCCGAAGCCCTGAAGCCGTTGAGCCCTGAATCCAATCAGCCAATCAACCCTCAAACCCTGAAACCTTCGAACCCCGAAAGCCCTAGACAAAACCCAAACGCCTGTCGTGTCCTCATCACCTTCTTAGACCTCCAGTTTTATACAGGTATGTCCAGCATCCCTTTCATGGAGAGCCCTTAAGGGCTTAAAGGAACCCTCAAGTCCATATCCTTCTTAAACCTCCCTTGAAGATGGAGCCTCAAAGTGCCTTGAAGGCTTATTGTAGCCCTTGCATCGCCTCCGTAACTCCCGCGCTTCCAAGCGGAGTACGGAGGCTGAACCGAGCTTTTCTGCAACATCGGAGGGGGATCGATGCGTCCTTGGGTGAAGGACCCCACAATTTGGGGTGTATCTTGGGGTCCTTAGCTGTCTTTTGACGGTGTTTTGGCGCTTGCTGTTGCTGTGTGTTAGGTATTCCACCGCGACGGCGCAGTGCTCCTTGGCAGTACTTGGCAAGTGGCCAAGGCGAAGGGTCTTCCCTTTGAGTAGCCGGAAATAGGAGCCTAAAAAAGAAAGTACCTATACTATTTTAGGGGGTCCTCATTGTAATTATCTATCCCAAAACCCTATTCTAATTAGTAAGGCCCCTGTATTACACCACAGAAGGGCAGGGTTCAGGGAAGAAGGGGTGTCCAGGTCCAGGTTGTTGGGTAGCTTGTCTGCATAAGGGGCCGACAGATCTCTTCCACGCTCCTGAAACTCAGACTCAAGCAGAAAAGCCCGTCCCGACCAATAAATGACAACCTAACCTCACAGCTTCATCCTTGACCTTGGTTCTGCTTAGGGCAGATTTTGGGGTTCTTCCTAGGAGGAGTAGTTTCAACCAAAATGTTTACGTACATTAAACCCCAAAACCCCACATCCAAAAGTGAAATCACGGAGCCTTCAACCGCAAAAGCCCGACCCGAATTGTACTTCAGACCAACTTGAAGGCTCATGGGACTTAGTAAGTAAGGTTACAAGTAGGTTATAATCAGGATAACCCCACTTAGGGGACTTTTTACCCCAGTTATAACCTACTTACTAAGTCCCATGATCCTCTAAGAAGGATGACCGGTCCTCGCACTGATTTCGGGGCCTGGAAGCGCGAGGCCCGGGAGGCTTCGGTTTGCAGGAGTTCTCGGGGTGCAGGGCTTTAGGGCTTAGGGTTTATAGGATTTAGGGTTTAGGGTGCAGGGCTTTAGGGCTTGCGGGGTCTAGGTTTCTATGGGACTTAGGGTTTAGGGTTAAGGGTTTATGGGCTAGGGGCTTAGTTTAGGTTTAGGGTGTAGGGTTTCAGGGTTTTTCTGGGTTTGGGTTTATGGATTTAGGGTTTTATTCCTGGTATCCGTAGCCATTTTGGCTCAAGGCGTCGCGGCTCGAGGCTATTGACCTGGTGTCTTTTCCCAAAGTGCCCTGGTCTTAGCTGCTTCCCGACCCCAGCTACTTTCCTGTTTCTGTAGCGCCATAGCTGGTCCCCGGTGGCCTCTATCTTGAGCTCCTGTTGCCTTGCGACTGAGCTCATCGCATTCGCAATCGTCACCGTTGACATTGCATATTGCACTGGTTGGTTATTTCGAGCTGGCCATTCGTCGTATCCACTGCGACTTGTTCCCTTTGATGTCATCGCTTACCGAGTGGGATGGTTTCTGCTGCCGCAAGCTCGATTCCGGGTTGCGGGCTCTGATCTTCCACATGCATTGTCTGTGCGGTTTCTGCTGCTCAATTGAACAGTACGACGCAATCAGCCACGACTGCCACCAGCACGGTGACCAGCACGACGCCATCTACCAACACGGTGACCAAGGCCACTGCTTCAGGATGGAGACTACGACGCTGTCTACTACGGCTACTGCCACCAGTGCGGTGGCCCGTGCCAGCAGCACGGTGACCAGCACGACGCAGTCTACGATGACTGCGACGGTGACCACAGCCCCTGCCGCCAGTACGGTGACCGGCACGACACTGTCTACCGCGCTGGTGGCCACGACCACTGCCACTAGCACGGTGACTAGTTCGACACTGTCTACCTTGACGACAACGGCCACTGTCACCAGCACGGTGACCAGTACGCTGCAGTCTACTACGACGGTGACAACGGGCACCACAGCCAGCGTGCCCAGCACGACGCTGTCTACCACCTTGGTGAGAGGGCCCCGTCGTGACTTGTTCTTACAGTTTTCTGCCTTTTCCTCTGAATGCCTTGATTGGGGTCAGGCACTCAGGACTTTTGTGTTTGTTGGACAGACCCTGACTTTTGCGGGTAATTAAGTGCTGCCCGTGTCAGGTTGTTTTGCAGCACTGTGCTCTTTTCCAGTCAGCGGTGTTGCCGGTCTTTGCCTCGTGCTGTCAGGGGCGACCGCTGGTGCCGGAATTGGCTGTTGCTGCTTTGCTTTCCTGAGCTCCCCTCTTTTGTTGGGGTCGAGCTCGGGGGAGCCTTTCGTTTCACCCGGCTTGTCGAGCCTCTGTACAGCTTCCGCTCTTTGTCTTGTTTCTTGGCCGCGACCCTACAGCAGGGTCGCTTTTCGGCCTACTTGCACGCTTTCTAGCACAGGACTTTCCTCTGGCACGTGAGTGAGTGAGTTTTATTCCTGGGGGCTTCGGGTTTAGGTTTTAAAGGGTGTAGGTTTTCAGGGTTTATAGGGATTACACGGTCCGGAGGTTCAGGGTTTTAGAGTTTTAGAATTCGGGCTTGGGGCTCAGGGTTGAGATTCTTTCTGATCGCTAGTGAGCAGTAGCATTTAGCCTGTGTCATCGTTTGCCTCTCTTCTATCTCTCCTCTATTTTTCCCTTGCCTTCACAAAGCCGGATGTGTTGAAATGCTTTTTGGGTCAAGGCTCGTGGTGACGCGTGAGGCAGCTGAGCCTGTCAGCAGCCACCGGCGCACGCTCCTAGAACCCCATTTGCCTTGTGTGGCAAGCTCTCTAAGCCAAGAAGCTCCCATTTTCAAGGTAGAAAATATACATACAAACATAAACTGATACTCTTATTGATTATAGACATTAATTACATTTACATATATTTATATTAAATATTAGGCCCGGGAGCCTCCCGGCTCCCGGGATGCACCGTTTTGTTCTGCCAGGCCAAAGGCCTGGAAGCGCCTGGTGTGACCTTCGGAGACCGCTTCGTTGAGCCAACCGGCCTCGAACTTCGGTTTACTTACCTTTGGTTGGTAGGGAATGGAAGAGGAGTAGTAGTAGTAGTAGTAGCAGTTATAATTGTACACTTTTCCTCCATTCCCTACTAACCAAAGGTAAGCTTAAGAGTTTGGGATGCAGTCGTTGCTGGCTCTCTGTCTTGTATACGGGTAGGGATCAAGTGCACCCAACTTTGTTTCTTGCCTGCCAAGAAGTTTGCAAAACTACCGCCCGTACTCCCAGCAGGAGCTCCTTTGCAATAGGATTGCCAAGGACCAGCATTCCTAAAGATACTGCAGAGCGACGAAATCCTGCAGCACTTTTCTTCTGCAGTCCTTCACCTCCACATCCTGCAAAGCAGCACTGATTTCCCCAGACCGTCTGGAATGTCCGTGATTTTGGGATGTCTCTCCGGAACGTATCCTTAGAAATGCAGCCTCGCATCGATGTTTCATTTCCAAGGCTTGGCCAGTGGCGTTTGTGGGCAGAAGGCCACCAGCTTGTCTTATCCCACCAAGCAGGGACCAGCGTCACTTGGACCAAGCATCGCACTGTGTTCGTGCTGCCCGCCCATCATCACCACCCCTTTTCTTTTGAGGTGCACCCACACCAGCATAGGGCCGTAGCACACAATCCTTTATTGTCGTCGTCCTACTCTGGGCTCTACCAAGGCTCTGCCTGTTTTGAAAAAGCTGTCTGTCCGCCTGGCTTACCCAGCCCTCGGTCATACCCGTCCGCCACAGTCTGCCGCAAGCCGCAGAAGAAGGTCATAGAAGGAAGAAGGTCGTAGAAGGTCCTTCGAAGAAGGGGCAACAGCAGTGCCCTGATCCAGAGGTTTTCCAGTTGATTGCGCAGCTCCTATTGTTGTTACTTGTTCTCACTCTTCGGTTTTGTCCTTCTGCTCGTCCTCTTCCCTACACCCTAGACCCTGAACCCCTTTGGGCCCTTGGTCTTTCGCTTTTCGGTTTTCTTGCCGATGATACCGGCATTCTCAACCCACAGACCTAGCCCCAAAGCCTAGAGGGCGTCTTGATCCTCAACCACATACCTTCGTTCGACACCTTATATGTTGAAGCCGGGTCTTCTTGAAAGCCCGGAACGCCTCTTTTCGGATAAGGTCAAAGTTTACCAGTCTGATGGCTCCACCGCTGGACGCCGTTGCTGCAATGCTTCAGAGCTTCAGGGGCTGACATCAGCATTTCGGGCAGTCGGGGCAGGTGCAGCTTCGACCTTTGGGGAGTGGATGCTGTTGCTACTGTCATCTGTCTCTGCATCTGTAGACCCCGTCACTCTGCTTGAAAAGCCTATAGAGGTTCTGCTTCCGAAGCAACACCCTGCCTGTGCCCCTCGCAGCAGCATGGTAGAAGAAGACACCGCACGTGCAGGCGTGAGCCTCGCATATCCCTGCGCCTAAGTGTGCGTGTTGGCGGTCGGTTACTGTCTGTATGCGGAAACCCTAAACCCTAAACCCTAAACCCTAAACATGTAGGCGCCCAGGTTATCATGATTTGTCCGTCGCACCCCCGAAGCCGAAACGGCCCTGAAACCCCTGGGCCCGAGACGCGAGTTGCTTGAATCGGCTGCTCCGTCCCGTCCCGAGCCGAGCCCAATAATATGTTAACAATAATAACATAATAATATAATAGTATAGTAATCATCATAACATAACAGTAACAATATACAATTTAATAACAATAGTACTATGTCCCGAGTCGAGCCCAAGGAAGCCCCGGCGCTTCGGCGGCCTCTGCCTTCTCCCGCCCGGCGTCCAAAATGGGAGGGGTGGCCTTTGGCGACCGCTTCCTGCAGGTGCGAGCCTGAAGCCCTGGACTGCTTAGGTGTAAGGTGTTGGGGTTTTCTGGCTGGTCGTCCGGGGTGTCTGTCCGATGTCAGGGAATCAGAGGATTCAGGTTCAGTTCAAACCTGAGTTCAGATTGAGGCTTTCCGACTCTAGGAGATCTTTCAGCGCAAACCTTCAGCCTTTACGCTCTGCAAAGCTCAACGCCCGGAACACCTTCGCCCCCGGGGAGATTGGCCACTTCCGCCTGGGCGACGTGGACGGTGCGCACTTCACCATCTCTCACCCGGCTGGGCTGTCTGAGGCCATTTAAGACTTAGGGATTTAGAGTTTTAGGGTCTGGGGTGGATTTTCAGAGTCTGGATAAGGGTCAACTGGAGTTTTGCAACGCTCGAGGTGTGGATCGCGTTTGCCGGTGACGGTAAGCATCCGTTGTACGTCCGAGGCCCTGAATCACCTTACTGGTACTTGAAGGCTCATGGGACTTAGTAAGTAAGGTTATAAGTAGGTTATAATTAGGATAACCCCACTTCGGGGACTTATAACCCCAGTTATAACCTACCTACTAAGTCCCACGATCCTCTAAGTAGACCCGAAACCCTAAACCCTATACTTCCCTTTAAGGAACCCTATAGATCCCTTTAAGGAGCCCTTTAAGGAACCTCACTAAGTCCCACGATCCTCCACTGGTAGCAGTTGCTCGTGCAAAAGGGACTCCTAAGTTTCGCGAGACAACACCCTTGCGCCTAGAAGGGGTTTAGGGTTTAGGGTTTAGGGTTTAGGGGTTTAGGGTTTAGGGTAATTGGCTCACCTAAACCCTACACCGTTAAACCGTACCTTAAACTACCAAACCCTGCTTTTTTTTTTTTTGGTAGGTTCTTTCTATAAACCCGAAGATGGAATTTATAGGGGCCCTACAAAAAAAGGTAGGTGTTGGTAGGTTATAAGGTAAAGCCTGGAGAACTAGGGGGCCGGGCTTGGGGTGACTAAGCGGTTCGGGCTGGGGAGTGCCAGTAACTCCTAATTTTCCCTGAGGGTCCAAGTAGTCGTTGATCAGTGTTAGCCTGGACATTGTGCTGTTACTTTTTATGTGTATGCACATACCAAGTAGTCCTTAATGGATTCTGCTTCCGAAAAGGCCCTAAAGTCCTAAAATTAGGAGTACTTGGACCCTCTGGGTTTTGGTCGCCTGCAGGGAAGGCCAAGCTGCTAAACCTCAAGCCTCCTTAGCCTCTGCTTGGCAGGTCCATCACAGCACCTTGGGCCTGAGTGAGCACCTGTTTTCTTCAGTGAAAGAAGTTTGAGACCACGGCAGTGAGAGCCGCAATGCGGGAAGCACGCCGGAGAGGGTCGGAACCCAAGGCCGCTAAAACGTAAGACCGACACTTTGGCACTCTGTGGCTTAGCGACTGAATCAGGCTTTCCGCTTGAGGCGCTGAGGCAATTTTGTGGCGCGTAAGGCAGCCGTACAAAGTCCTTCCAACATCCTCCCGTCGCTGCAGATCCGATCCCAAGCGGTCACAGCCGCAGCCGGGAAACCATACCACGTATAAAATTTAGGGGGCTAGAACCCTCACTCATAGACCCCTAGACCCTCAACACCCCAAAAAGATCGCCCTTCCAGCCGAGGCGACGGAACGCTCCTTCCCTCCGGCGCAAGCTCTCTGACCACCCTGGGCCGTCGCCTGGAAGAGTGCCAGCCCCTCTGAGGCCCCGAAGCTCTGAAACGAAATGGAGGTTTCCGAAATTACATAGGGGTACCTTGTTTGGTGGTCCTTATAATGGGGATCCTACTATTTAGGGTACGATATGAGGGTCCCCTATTTTCGGAAGCTCCCAAATAGAGCCGTTCGGCTTCACGAGCTGGGCTCTGATCATGGGCAGGGCAAGGGCAGAATAGGGTCTTTCCACACGACCGGATGTCTCGGCTGTGGAGCGGCCCTGAGTGCCTGCGACTTCGCGGAAAAAGGCGTCACTTCGAGGACTGTGGCGTGGCGGAGCTTGGGATTTGGAACTCGCAGTGTGTACCGTCATGGGGCAGAACGACCTTTGCAAGTTCATGAGATGTCTCAAGGAATCACGGTTGCATGCTGCAAGAGCTCGCAAGAAATCGGTCCCAGGACCCACACCTCTGTGTTTCAAAGTTTCACTTCAACTCCGAGGCGTGAAGTCGCAGACCATGAATCGCATTCTCGAGTTACCACGGAAAACGATGCTCCCGGCCATGAAGGCGCATGCCCTGAACTATCCTGAACCTCTACAACCTTGAACCCAGCAAAGCCATGCCGAAGTCCTGAACCCTAAGTCGCCGCAAGCGCCGGCCTCTGCCAGCAATGGCTGCTCCAACATCACTGCGGCCTGCAAGGCCGCAGTGTGCGATCTTCCTCTTCTTGCGGGGGTTACACGTGTTAACATGTCCGTACGTACACCCTCGATAGCAGCTCTGAGTTAGCAGTCCCCTGTCCGCTTGCTGGCTTCTTGAGTTCGCAAGCCCTGTCACCAGAAACACGCGAATCTGAGCTCGTGAAGGCTTCAGGGCAATGTAGCGCTGCGTCAGGGTTGAGGCTCTCTCTTCTGTTGAGGGTTGCAGGAATTCGGCCGCTTGAAATGCTCCTTCCCTGCCACCACGACAACAAGGACTCGGCACGAACAATCATGGCCTGCTTACCAGTCCATCGAACTCTTGAGGCCTTTGGAGAATCGGGGGGGATTTGTCCTTGCAGGTCCTCTTTGCTTGCAAGTTTCGCGCATGGAGCTTCCCTGTGTCATTGCTGTCCTCTTTCGGCCAGTTCTGCTGCAGTTGGGTCTGGCAGCAATGGCGCGAGGGTCGTTGACGCACAGCCGCGCTGATGCGATGGAGGCATGCTTCGGTGGTGCTGCATCGAAGGTATACAGCTACGAGTCTTGCTGTGCATGTGGCAACGAGTATGGCAACTCCTCAGGGCGGAGCCATTGCTGGGTTGGACCCTTTGATTTATCTTACTGCTGCACCTTCTACGCCAGCAACGCGCGCCTGTTGCCCCATTTGCCTTGCTGGCGGGACGCCGACGGTCCCAAACACCGGGTGCAGTTTGAGCTTGCTGGGAGGGAGTGGAGACTCTGGCAGAAGCCCCGGGAGCCCTTCGACACACGAGGCGTCATGGCGCACGTGATGTGGCCTTCGGCCTATGCTTTGGCGGCTTGGATGCTGGACAAGACAGGGACCGCCGTAGATGCCATCGAAGGAAGGCACGTCCTTGAGCTTGGCTGCGGCTTGGCGCTGCCATCGCTGGCGGCGGCCTGGGGAGGTGCGGCCACGGCCCAAGGCACCGACATCGACCGGGACTGACCTGATACAGCGGGAGTCTTGAGTTTGCTACTCTTCGAAGTTGTAGCCCACAGCAGCTTTGTGTAGCATCTGTTGCATCGTTTGTGTTGCTCTGACATCAGGACAGTCACAATCATCACAGCAGTACGGTGCAGATGGATGCCCTGTTGTTTTTTCCTCTCTCTCTCTCTCTCTTTCTCCGTATGTGTAGGTGCGGCATACATGTATTGCAAGGGCGTGCCTGGTGCGAGGACGCGGTGCAACTGGCTCGGAGAGCTGCCCGGGCCAACCTGCCGGAGCTCTTTTTCTCGCGCTTTCGGGCGGACGTTTTGGACTTCCGGGACGCGGCGTCTTTGGCGACGGTCGCTGCGAAGCCGCCGGGGGTGGACACGGTGCTGATTTCCGGGCAGCTCTACGAGGGAGCCCTCAGCATTCCTCTGCTGCATGCGCTGCAGACGCTCTGCTCCCCGGAAGCTCTGCACGGTCCTCATGGAGCCTGGGCCTGAAATCCCTAAGCCCCAAGCCCTCAACTGAAGCAAACCCTGAAGGAAAGAGCCGAGATGCTAGGGATCAGGAGCCCAAAGCTGAGCCTTAATTGCATTTTGCAGAAGTCCGAAACTGGCGTGGGGTAAGCAAACTGAACCCAACAACTCGGAGGTATTCTGGATCTCGATTGAGTTCTCACAGACGCAGATCGCGTTCTTGGATCGCATGAGCCACGTGGGCTTCAAGGTAGTGGACGACTTCGCTTGCCGCGAGCGCGGCTATGCGAACCCGGGCTCAATGTACGAATGCTACAGGTTCGAGAAAGCGAGTCCTCTCGGGCTATGGTTACTGTGGGTTCCTAAGAGGTGGTTGCTCTGTAGTAAGTGCAGTGCTTGTTCATGTCGTTGAGATGATGATAGTTGGAGTTAGCCTGGCCTGTACAATGCATCATTCGAGGCACGCCAGCACCCGAAGCCAACACCGGAAACCCGAACCCAAGGCCCGGAACACTCAACGCCCAAACCTTAAACCTGAAACCCCAAAACCCTTGCAGTGACCTTGTCATTGTTGGCACACCAGTCTGCCATGTCTTGCTTCTTGCACCACCTGTACCTGCTGATGCGAGAGCTGAGGGTCGTACAGGGTTTTTAGGGGTCTAGGATGATCTGGGGCTTACGTTTAGACAGTAGACTTAGGACTTCGGGGCCTGTAGGGTTTGAGGAATCTGGGTGTAGGGCGAGTATTTACGGAGAAGGCCCACAGGCTGAGCTTCAAGCCCCGGATTCCAATACTCCGAAAGCCGAAGCCTTCAGCTGTCGGAATTGGAGGGTCGGGTTGAAGGAGTTTAGGGGTTTAGAGGTTTAGGGTTTAATGCTTGGGGAGTTTAGGGCTTGCGTGAGAGAATGCTTTTGCTTGAGGCCGTAGTTTTCCTGAAGCCAGGTTGCCTGCTCCCTGGTGCCAGCGAGGAGACGATGTGCCACCCCAAGTCGGTTTAGGGTTTAGTTTCGCATCCGAACTCATCAGAAATTGGGACTTGTTCCATCCAGCAGTCCTTGAGGCATAAGAGGAACGCGTGACGGTAGGTTTTCGGGATTTTGGGCAGCAGGCACGAACCGGTTTCGGAGTCTCTGTGTGCCGTGTCGGGTGTTTGGAAGATCTTCTGAGAGATCCGCTCCTTCACAGTTGCCGGAGCCCTCAGCTCGATGCATTTGCGAAACCAGCAGTGACACGATTCCGACGTTTCTGGGCCAGTGATGTCATGTAACTTACTCTTGGGTACTGCCCCCCACATAGTAACAGTTGGAGAATCTTCATAGTACACATATATATATATATATATATGGTTATATATTAGGACCTTAATAGTAGCCCTATTATAGAGGCCAGAACCCAACATGTAACTAGTCGTACTTACTAAGCTGCGAACTTCCCAAAACGAGGAGCGGAGCGGAGCGAAGGGGGAGGGGGCGACCTTTTAGCTCCCAAGGCGCTTCATGGCTGCCGGGGGCGAGGGGGGAAGGCTGCAATCGGAGCCTTGGCAGAAGGCTGTTTTGGCTTAGCTTTGGTTGGTAGGGAAAGGAGGAATGGGATACAAGTATAACTACTAATACTACCATTCCTCCATTCCCTACTAGCCAAAGGTAAGTTTTTTGGGGGTCCATGCGGCCCATGTCGCCGAGTTTTGCAGAGTGACACGAAAAGCTGCGCGCCGGCATCACTTCAGGACGCTGAGCCGTCGAGGCCGAGGCGTGGGGGCGTCGCCTTGCGCTGACTGCGGGCGGCCTCAGGAAAAAGTTGGTCAGCTTAGGAGTGCTCGCAGGATCCGCGTGTCTTTAGTAGAGAAGAGGTGTTCTTGCTTTGTTCTTCACGGTGTGCCTTTGCCATATGTCATGTGACCGGCAGTTTCGTGTGCATCCAGCGCATGCCTGAGCTTTGAGCTTTTGACCCAAAGTCCGAAGACACTTGACGGGGATTCCCAAGGTCCGCCTTGCCGTCGGAGTGATGGGGTTCCTCCCGTGCTCTTCATCATCTTCAGCTGTTGCTTCTAATGATGAGCACGAGAATGATTGACGATGATGATGATAATGACGATAGTGCGACGATGATGACGCTGTTGTTGTTGCTGTTGTTGATGATGACGTTGACGACCATGATGTTGGTTGTGGTGGTGATGATGACGATGATGACGGTGATGATGAGGTGTTGCTTCACCGCCAACATCCAACAACCGTAACCATATTGCGACTGATGCTCCACCGTCTCTGCGTCTGCTTGCTGCATCCAGCACCGTCGCAGCCATGGGCCGCCTTTCGAAGAGAATCGTCTTGTCATGGCAAGCAACGCTGTTATGCCCCACTGCAGCCTTTGGCCCCAAGCGCAGTGCGGGAGCAACATGCGTCCAACAGGGGGACTTGAGATCCCTAGCAAACCCAAAGCAAACATCAGCTGTGCGACGTCGAAATATCACAGCACCTAACTCAAAGCAAGCAGGGCGTTTTTTTTGCGGCCATTTCAATCTCGGATTCCGATCCAAAGAACCTCCTCACCACAGAGCAGCAGTAATCCTTTGATTCCCGTGCGAAATAAGCCCTGACATTGAAGCTGGAGCAAGTTAAGAGCTTCTTTTTTGGATGTGCTCGGCCTCTTTGGATATCCTGTGAGTTCCCCTCTGCGCTCCTGCAATGCCAGGCCCCGGCTGTCTATGAGAGCCTCGAAAGCCCGAAAGCCCAAAGCAGCCCCGGCCCCTTCCCGTGCCCTCGCCCGCGTTTTGAGAGGACCGATGGCCATCTCCCGGGTGCTGGGCCTCTTTGCGACGCTCAGTGTCATTTTGTTTCACCGTGCATGGCCCCTGGGCCGAAATCAGTGGATGGACTTCGCGCTTTTGCAATCCAAGCCCTTCCGTTTCGGGGGGGACTTTGGCCCTGAAGCCCAGCTTTGCTGTCTTGCGAGTTGGGGCCCAAATGAGAGTCCTGCAGACCCGAACAAGCCCTCTGCGTGCTCAAAGGAGCTGCTGATGTCCAGTGAGGAACACTTTGAGCAATGAGCCTCGAAGAGACCCCCCCTCCCGTAGTCCCGAACAGCTTTGCACTTGTTCCGTGCTTCGATGAGCTTTCGTCATGTCTGTGCGAAGACCTGCCACAAGACGGAGGTTCCCAGAGCCGCATGCGGGAAGGCGGCTCCTCCACGGAGGCTCCGAAACCTTCCTGGAGTCTCTCAGAAGTGCCTCGGCGGGGGACGGGAAGGAGTTGGCGCAAGGATTGTTGGGGAGAACAGCATGTTCCGGCATGAGGGCTTCGCAGAGGCGGTTTGTGGGCGACCTGTGAGCTCCCGGGAAGGCTTTTGGGGACGCAAGAGCTTTGGGAGGGTCAGGTCGCTGTCAGATTCAGGACGTGGTCGACTTCAAGATTCAATACCAGATCCCCCTGTAGAACCCCTAAACCCTAAACCCTATAACCCTAACGCTGGTGCTGCCACCCGTCGCCTGCCGGCCGTTGGGATGGCAATCTCTGCTCTGACTGCACACCCAGGTAACTGGGACACGACGCTTGAAGACACCTCGGAGCAGTTGAGGCCATGCCTCTACGCTGACACCTGGCTCGCAATTTGCCTTTCTATTGCACGATATCACTGTGTTCTTTGTGGTCTCTGTTTACCATCTTGAGCGGACGGAGAGGCCCTCTGCGCCGCAGCATCCCCCACAGCAAAAATCTTGGGGAGCCCCCGCAAAGCCTGCAAGGAAGTGGAGCATCACCTCGGCGCGCTGGTCTCCTGGGTCTCCTCTGCAGCTGCCAAGGCCTCCGACAAGTTCAGGCCGGGCCTCGGAGCGATGGATTCAGGGGAAACGTTGAACTGCGAGTTGCGGGACCTGCCCTTCGAATAGAGAGTGCAGCTACACGCTTCGGGGCCTTCCTCCGTACGGCCGGTTCGGACTCCCAAGAGGTCGAAATTACGATGGTCGCCCAAGTCCACCCTCGGTGCAGGTGGGCCTTCCTGGAGCAGCCTTGGGCCGGCGCGGCCGGCCTCGCGTGTGCCGTGCTGCTCGCCGCCGCCGCATACGCAGCGTACATGCGCATGAGCATGAAGCACATAGCAGATAGAGGGTACCACGCACTAGGTGTGGATGAGGTAGAGAGTCGGGAACGGCTGCAAGCGCAATTTCTCATCGCCGCTTCTCTAGGGCTTTCCGTCGCTGACATTGTGTCGGACATCTACGTCGCCACGACATACTTTCGAAGCGGCCTGATAGCTTTCGGAAGCCTGCTAGTGGCCATCACGCTGGGTTCTGGGGTCGTGGGGTTCGTGCTGCACCGGGCGAGTTGGGAGCGGGCAGACGAAGGCAAGAACATAGATTTTTGGGCCCAGGGTCTGAACGAGCAGGGGGAGCGCCAGCCCGGGGTTAAGGATTTGGTCTTGTACGTGCTGCAGATAAAGCCCCTTCTTGTCGCGTACGAGTCCTTCCAGTTAGGGTCCGAAGCCGTAGTGCTGGTGAGGGAGAAGGTTCTGGCGCAGTTGAGCGAAAGTGTTCCGAGCGCACTGCTACAGGCATATGCGCTCGCAGTTGCAGGTGCGCCGCGAGAAGGCACCGTGTTTTTCCTCATCCTGTCACTAGGCCTGTCGTTAGGATCAATGGCCGATGCCGCGAACAAGGGCTACCGGCGGCTTTGCGCACCGGATATCGAGCCTTGGATGAACCTTCCTAGCGAGGCGAGGTCTCGAGGCCGACTTGAGCATCAAAGCAGAGCGCTGGTCTCACTAATCCTGGTTTTGCCATCGCCGTGAAACGTTGTGCTTCCATTCAGCTGAATGAAGGATCCGGGCGTTTTGCCGGAAGCCGGCTTGCTGGCCTGGCGCTGCGCCGACGTCGGCGGACGCATCTGCGGGTGGGCCCTCCTGGGCATGGCCCTTCGTCCGGTGGACGCCTCCAGGAGCCCTGGTTCGACTCGAACCCTTCTCCAGGAGGATTTAATATAGCTGTGGTGGTGAGCTTGCGAATTGTCACCTCAGGCGTGGCGTCCAGCAGCCCTGGTTGCCCGCTTGGATTCTGGTGGACATCGCGGTGTCGGCGGCGATCCACAAGTTGGTCCTCCAGAAGCCCTGGGAAAGTCTCAAGCGACCCCAGGACATGCTGGAGCTGCTGCTCTGCGCCGTCACGATCCCTTGGGGTTGCTTGCAGTACCTTGGATGCAGAGGTCGTATGCAGGTCCAACGCGTGATAATCAATAGCGTGTCCAGTCGGCCACGACCTCGATGTATGGACAACCTATACCTTCCTGTGGCTTGAGGCATGCATTGCTGCAACGGCAGCTGCGGCTGCAACGGGTGCTGCTGCTTGGCCGCAGCCTCACCACCCTCGCGGCGGCAGCGGTGGTTGCTGCGAAGTATGGCAGCACAGCGCCCGACGGCACATGCCTTTCCGGCCAAGATTATGTAGCCAGGTCAACAGCAGAGCGACCTGATCCGACCGCAGCTCGAAAGCCATAACGTGTTCAGGGCCTGAGTTCAGCAACGGACGGTGCCCTGCATTAAAGATTGTCGAGGTCTTGCTTGAAAGGAGCCCCTGGAATTCAAACCTCGGGACTTCGACCTGTGCAACCAACGACGTACCCAGCCCGACGGCTATGTCTATGTTCAGCGGAAAGCTTCGGAAAGCAGCCACAACAAACAATTTTGCTTCAAGCCAAGTTCCTACCCGACTTTGGTCCTTGGATGGCCAGGCCCACTCACGGCCCGGCCAGCCCTGGCTTCTCTGGCCGCTGCGGCTGTGGCCTTCAGTTTGGCCACGTTGCTGACCGCAGCCGTTTCGGAGATTCTGCTGCGCTGGAACGTGACGTTGTTCCCAGTGGCTCAAGGCCTCCGCAGCGGCCCACTGCACCTAGCGGTGCGGCTGGGCAGCGTGGCCAACGTGCAGCGCATCCTGGCTCAAACCGGTGGGCATGAGGAGAGCTTGCTCCATGTACATGAAGCCGCGCATTGCTGCGACGTAGAGGTTCTGAGAGCTTTGTACAGCAGCGGCGAAGCCATGGACGCCACGGACGAGCGAGGGCGCCGTCCGATCCACTTCGCCGCGGCGGCGGGCAGCGTCGGCGTGCTTCGATTCCTGGCTGAAACTGAGGCGTGGCAAGGGGCCAGTCTTCGATGTGCCAGTTGATATGACCTGGATGAGGTCAAACAGCATGGAATGGAACGGTGAAGGCGTAGAGAGAGAGAGAGAGAGAGAGATGTACATATATATATATATATACACATACACGCATATATATATATATAGAGAGAGAGAGAGAGAGAGAGAGAGAGAGAGAGAGAGAGAGAGAGAGAGAGAAACTGCCCGCGCTAACCGACGATGTGTGATCCGCCTTCCTCGTTTCCTCGTTTATTCATTCAATGTCCCTGCTCTCCCAGAAGAGCTTGCACAATATCGGAAGCAATTACACCAACATCTTTTCTCCCGACTTTTCAATAGGCCCACCCCAGGTCACAGTAGGGAACACAAACTTTTTGTGGGCACAGACCACCAAAGGACGAGGGGCAGCATGATACTTTACTCCCTATAGCTGTGCTGTGTAGACATGCTGTCGTATTAGTAATCGATCCCTTCACCTTTGCGTGGGGGCTCCATGAAACATGGGTTGACAACCAACATCGTGGTAGCCATAGGGAGCACAGGGATGAGGCCTGGGTTGGGTGTACAGGGTCGGGGGATGTCAGCCCAGGAATCAGGAGCATGCCGTGCCGCTGTAGCCTCAGTCATAGGGGACCCCAAAGCCGGTCACTTAAAACCAAAAGTGGTCCGGCGGGCCAAGTGCCTGCGGGTCATGCGTGACTCCTAAGTCCGGCAGACACAGAGAGAGAGAGAGAGAGAGAGAGAGAGAGACAGAGAGAGAGAGCGAGAGCGAGAGCGAGAGCGAGAGCGAGAGCGAGAGCGACAGCGAGAGAGAGAGAGAGAGAGAGAGAGAGCGAGAGGGAGAGGGAGAGGGAGAGGGAGAGGGAGAGGGGGCCCGCCCGCACGGGGAGGGCAGGGAACTGCCTGTCTTTTGGCTGTGTGGAAGAGGAGAGAGAGAAAGAGAGAGAGAGAGAGAGATAGAGATATCGAGATCGAGACGGAGACAAGCAGAGAGGGATCGAGAATCGAGAGGGACATGCAGACAGACATGCGACAAGAAAGAAGCGAAAGAGACACGGAAAGCAAGCAGCGTACAACCCTGGGTTGTGGTGTCTCCATGAGTGTTTTCCAAGCAGTCAGCAGGTAGTCACTCATGTTGTGGGGGCCCTGCCCCGACGTCCTGCAGAAGAGTTGTCTGAATTCCTGGACGTCGACATGTTCCCCGCTCAAATCTCGACCCTGGAGCCCCCAAAGCTGCAACTTTGGACATTGAAGATCCATGTCAGACAACTCAAGAGGCAAGCCTCCGCGGGTACGAGGAAGTAAGGGTTCCGAACGACGCTCAAGTAGCAGTGCGCCCCACAGCTACAGTTGTTCGAACCGCGGGCAGGCTGTGGCCGACGCTGCAGACGAGAAGGGCATCACGGCAGCCCACATGGCCGCAGAGATGGGCCACGTGGATGCTCTGGAAGTGCTGCACAAGGCCTGCTGCGTGCGAAGAGAGTCAAGGATGTGGGCAATCTTCGGAAGGGATGCGTTCTGCCCAGCATGCCTTGCGAGTTGAAGATGCATGCGGCGAGACGGAAAGGTCATGCTCTTCTATCACATGCTGTTCTGAAGCGGCATATAAGAAGACACGCACACGCCGAAGCGGCATTGATATGTAAGGTTCCGCATTTGAGAATTGGTCAACAGACCTCGAACAAGAACAAGCCATGACAAACCCGACGACACAACCTCCACCCCACTCCCTACACCGCCTTGTCAGATCTGAACGATTCAACGGTTTGAGGTTTGACATAGGCAGCGGGGGAGAAGCTCAGCTTCGAGCTTGCCTCTGTACCAACTTGGCTCCGAACACACACGCGTCCTGTTTTCCAGAACTAAAGGGCTCGACGGCAACGGCTCGAAATGCCTTCAAGATTCATTGCCGCCGCGGGATAAGAGCGTAGACATGGGCACGAGCAGTCCATGCAGTTAGATTTGGGAGCCTGGCACCAAGTCGGAACAGCGTCTACTTCTTGTACAGCGCCGAGGGTAAAATGAGAGTCGGCGAAAGACCCTTCGGGTGTTGATGACGATGGTTGTGGTGTCGAGCCGGCATGCAGCAGAGGTTTGGGGCAACAGTTGCACGGAATTACTTATTTTGGGAGACGAGTCATGCGTGGCATGTGTTTGTTTTCCTTGCTTTTTTGTGGGAGGCCTTGCTGTGAAGACGGGATGGAGCAAGGAAGTATTAAGGTAGAGTTGAGCCGTTTCGCGCAGGCTTTGGTAACCCGTGTGAACTTGCCAGGGTGGTTGTCTCAGAAGCCCGCTGTCTTTCCAGACTCGAAAGGCGCACGCTGTGGACCTCGAGGCCCGCGACGAGCACGCGGAAACTGCGGCACACAAGGCTGCCCGAGGTGGCCATGCGGAGGCCTCGGGGTAGCTCCCTGTCATTGCCTGCCCGTAGCAGAGACCCTGGCCTTGCAGCAGGTGAGATATAGAGGTAAGGTTTCCGTGGCAGCCGGATGTGTTTGCCCATGGCTTCTGGAATACGTGCCAAGATTTCGTGCATTGGATGGATGCCAACAGTTTTGCGATTTGACGGTTGTGGCTTCATGTCTCGATAAAGCCAGCAGTTGAATGTTCTTGTCCCACTTTCGGAAGGCCTTGCGGATGCTCTCACAGGCGGGGTGGCGCTGTGCACAATTCCGACTTGCAAAATCTAGCAACAAGGGCTCTGACAGAGCCTCGCTCTCCCTCTCTCTCTCCCTCTCCCTCTCGCATCTCCCAGTCCCGAAGCTGATCATCTCGTTCTGCTGAAGTTGCGGAACTGTCGCTCAGTTATGCCGTTAGGCAGTCAATCGCGCGGGCCCTACGATACACGATTTTGTTCCGTTGGAAAGTGTGTTGTCAGTAAAAAGCTGTTTCCGCAACTTCAGCGCAAGTTGCGGAACTGTCGCTCAGTTATGCCGTTAGGCAGTCAACCGCGCGGGCCCTACGATACACGATTTTGTTCCGTTGGAAAGTGTGTTGTCAGTAAAAAGCTGTTTCTGCGGGTCTGTGTCGATGCTTTCAACAGAGCCAGGGCCTGGAGGCGTGCAGTCCGACTCGGGATATTCTGTTGTAAGTTTTTTCCGTCCATGCAGACTATCTCGTCGCCATATACAACCAGCTCGTACGGTTGTTCGATGCCCCTGAGATTCGAAAGCATGCAGTGGCGTGATGATGTGGTCTCGACGCATGCAGCGCGCATTTCTGGCGCTGCACATGTAAAATTGTTGCTCACTTCGCCTGGCTCGCTTAGACGGAGCCTTTGCCGAACTGAGTTAACGTGCACACGAAGCTAGCGAGATTCGTCCAACGCATTTCGCGAGACTCCGCTTCTGCCGTCACCGCCGCCTTTCGGCGGTCTTCGTTTGCCTTCTGCCGCTCTCCCCTTTTCTTTGTGCAGGCCAAGGCCGACCTGGAGGCCAAGGATGAGGAAGGCTGTACGCCGGCGCACCTGGCCGCCGAATTCGGCCGCCTGGCGGCTCTGGATGCCCTCCGCGAGGCGGCCGTGGTTGGGGGGGAGGAGGGGGTCTGGGGAGGGAGCGTCTTGGAAGTGGCGGTTTCTTCTTGAGGGACCCTGGGCTTTCCTGTGCTTGCGAGCTTGTGTTTGGGAGGCCAAGGTGGAGCTGGGTGCCAAAAGCAACACTGGCAGAACGCCGGCATGGCTCGCAGCCAGCGAAGGCCACGCGGCGGCGCTGCGGCTCCTGCAACAGGCCTGGAACTTCCACGCAGCGAAGGGCCGAAGAATATCAGGGCGTTCTGCTACAAATGCGAGGAATAGAAGCGTGTGCGTGATGTCTGCATGCTTCACTTCCGGCCTGGTCCCGGCGGCTGCACGCTTTCGAAGTTGGCACGTCTTCCACACCTTGGACGTGCAGAGAGCGGTCTCGCGCCAGGCCCGGGCGGACCTCGGGGCAGCCGTGGACGACGGCCGCACTCCCGCCCTCATGGCCGCCCAGAACGGCCACCGCGAGGCTCTGGAGGTCCTGCGCCAGGCCGGTGGGGGTGTACAGTATGGTATAGCCTGCATCACCCCTCCCTATGGGCTGTAGAGCCGCAGAACGAGCAGGTTAAAGGGTGCTGCTGCAGGTTTCGTTTCGGCCCTCGGCCCGATGGAGACACGAAGTTATACACAGAGTTGCGAGGCTGTAGAAGCGCAAGTGGAGTTTGAGCAGCGCAGTGCCGTTGCCACACGTCTCCTCATTGCCCTCCCTGCCCCCCGCAGCACAGGCTGGCGCGGACCTCGCTGCAGCGAAGAAGGACGGGCCTGAGCCGAGCACATTTTGGAAAGAAGCGGAGGAAAAGTAGCGCGGTGGAGCTGCTCTGTTTTGAAGGACGGCCGAGCGCCCGCCCACTATGCTGCGCAGAACGGGCACCTCGAGGCCCTGCGGCTTCTGCTGGAGGCCGGGCTCGCGTTTCAAGGAAGCGAGGAGCCTCAGAGCGGAGGCGTTTAGTGGATTTGAAGGGGCGGACTCGTTGCTACACAATCAAGCACTTTCAAGGCTGGGGCAGATCTGGCAGCCGCAGACGAAAACGGCGTCACCCCGGCCTTGCTCGCCGCCGAGAAGGGCCACGCCGGCGTGCTGCGGCTGCTGCAGGAGGCCATGGCATGCAGGATCTCGGGGTCTATCAGATGATGAGATTTCGATGGTAGAAAGCCTGATCGCAGGTGAAGCCTGAAAGCAAGTGATTTGGAAGCTCTGAGTCTGAAGTAGCCGCAAGAACGAATACCACTGTAAGCACAAGTGAGAGTTAGAGGAGCGCAGTGTCCATTGCCACCCGCTTGTCCGCTCCGTTGTCTCCTCATTGCCCTCCCTGCCCCCCGACCGCAGGCTGGCGCGGACCTCGCCGCAGCGAAGAAGGACGGGCCTGAGCCGAGCATATGTTGGAAAGAAGCGGAGGAGAAGTGACGCGGTGGCTCGGTTTTGAAGGACGGCGTCACGCCCGCCTATCGGGCTGCGCAGAACGGTCACCTCGAGGCCCTGCGGCTTCTGCTGGAGGCCGGGCTGCAGACTTCCAGAGCTTTCGTTTCAAGAAGCGAGGAGGCTGAGAGCAGAGGCCTTTGGGGTTTTGGGGGTCTGAAGGGATTTTTGGAGAGGAGAGAAAATCGTCGCTACAGCTTGCGACCCAACTTCGAACAAATTTTGGTGGAGGAGGCCAGCTGCAGTCCTGAAAAGTCTGCACATGCAGCGAGGTCGGGGCCAGTATGTAAGCTTTCAACGGGCTGGAACTTAAGAGCTCCGCGCCACAACAGCAAGGTGCTTTTGTTGAATCCCTCTTCCACGGAAACCTACGCGGCCTTCGGACCGAAGTCGCAGAGTCACCCACCCCATCTAAGCAGCTGTGATTCTGCGTCGGAGTGGGCGACTCCGGCGACTGTACTTTGGGAAGGATTTGGCGGCAAAGTTGGGGTCTCGTCGCTTTACTGTCGCGGGCTTCTTCTCTCCAAGAAGGGTCTGCCCAGTCAATTTTGCGCAAGAGGAAGCAGATCTGCGATAGTTCATATCTAAATCGCTCGAGTTGCTCCAGACGTCGGCCGCTTGCACGGTTGACAAAAAGGGACCCGAGGCCCTGCTTTTCGGGAGGAACCCGCATACTGTTACACCTGTAGCAAGCCTGAGGCCGAGGAGCCCCAAACCAGCCCCGGCCACTCCGGAGCCCGGAGGCGGCAAGCCAAGCGAAAGGGCCAGAGATTCGAGCCCAGTCTTCAAAGCCCCAGACGCCTGCGTAAGGCTCCGGGGATCCGTGCAAGACCTTTCAGAAAGCCTATTTCTGTCAATCAGCTTGGTACTTGGTATGTCACTCTCAGTCGCTCCTGTCGGTCGTTTCGGGGATGTGTCGTCGCCCGGTCTTGGACTCCTGCGCTTCGTGCTCTTTCTCCGAGGTATGTGGACGTAGTCAAAAAGTCTATAGGTCAAGAGCAAACAGACCGGGCCGGTCTTCAGCAGAAGTGCAGGGTGCCTTTGATCTTAAAGCTCGGGGATCCGCATGCAAGTCGCTTGTGTATCACATTTTTCGGCTGGTCTAGTATACTTTTGTGCTATCTCGGAGTCTCCCGAAATATCGTGGCGTCTCCTCGCTCCCATCGCGACTTCGAAGCTTTGACTCTCTGGGAGTCCTTCCCATGTAAGCGCCGTGCGACTTTGCCGCCAGTTCCCGTTCTGCACAGCTATCAGACAACTCCTCAAGCTCGCATCATACTTGTAGAGCCAGCTCGTCGGAACATTAAGCTTGATCGGCGAAAGGGCCAGAGATTGGAGCGCAGTCTTCAAAGCCCTAGACACCTGAGTCCAGAGCACCCGGCCATGTGAGGCCTGCCACGTGTAGAAAGGCAGCTTGTCGGGTTTGTCCTTCGGTCGTTGCAGGGATATGTGGGCATACTCCGGGGTAACCGCAAACAGAGGATCCCGGCCTCTCTGTCCCCCAAGAGGCGCATGGATCTGCAGTGGAAAAGCTCCTTTCGAAAGCCGAAGGGGCCCCTTTCTTTGGACAAGTTCGCCTCGCACTTGTAAGTTTGGAAGAAAGGACGGTCTGTGCTCTAGATTTTTAGATCGTGGCGGAGTTCTGACTGGGCGTGCAGTGTCTGTGTGCGGCTAGCGGTTCTGATGTTGTCTTGCCGAAAGAAGCTCGTCTCCCTACCGAAAACAATAGCCCGTCTTAGCTGTGGCTGCGCAGGCTGGGGCAGATCTGGCAGCCGCAGACGAAAACGGCGTCACCCCGGCCTTGCTCGCCGCCGAGAAGGGCCACGCCGGCGTGCTGCGGCTGCTGCAGGAGGCCATGGCATGCAGGATCTCGGGGTCTATCAGATGATGAGATTTCGATGGTAGAAAGCCTGATCGCAGGTGAAGCTTGAAAGCAAGTAATTTGGAAGCTCTGAGTCTGAAGTAGCCGCAAGAGCGAATACCACTGTAAGCACAAGTGCGAGTTAGAGGAGCGCAGTGTCCATTGCCATGCGCGTCTCCGCTCCGTTCTCTCCTCATTGCCCTCCCTGCCCCCCGACCGCAGGCTGGCGCGGACCTCGCTGCAGCAAGGAAGGACGGGCCTGAGCCGAGCAAAAATTGGAAAGAAGCGGAGGAAAAGTAGCGCGGTGGAGGTGCTCTGTTTTGAAGGACGGCCGAACGCCCGCCCACTTTGCTGCGCAGAACGGGCACCTCGAGGCCCTGTGGCTTCTGCTGGAGGCCGGGCTGCAGACTTCCAGAGCTTTCGTTTCAAGAAGCGAGGAGGCTGAGAGAGGAGGCTTTTGGGGGTTTGCGTTGCTACAACCTTCTACAGCTAGGGTGGTTTGCTGAGCGCCGATGAATTTGCGATTTGTTGGTTTTGTTGTTGTGATCGTCTCCCAGGGTGGCGTGGCGTCTCCTCTCTCCACACACACCCTCCATGCATTGCCGCAGTCCAGGCCCACTAGTGGTTGCCACTACGGCCATTGCCAGATTTCAGCGGGCATCTGAAAATCAGGAGCTTGCAACGAAAGCCCGACACGAAACATCCCAGTCCACGAAATCATCAGATCAGGGCTGGAGCTTAAGAGCTTCGCTCTTTGAGCGTGCAAGCTCAAAGCAGCGAGGTTTGCTTTGCAATGCTCTCCGATGGAGGCCCACCCGGGCCCTCGGACCGAAGACATTTGAGGGCAAAGGGCCAAGTCCCGGAGCCATCGCCCAACCAGGCAACTCTGCCTCAAGATTGTCGGAGTGTCCCATGTAAGCGCCGTGCGACTTTGCCGCCAGTTCCCGTTCTGCACAGCTATCAGACAACTCCTCAAGTTCGCATCATACTTGTAGAGCCAGCTCGTCAGAGCATTAAGCTTGATCAGCGAAAGGGCCAGAGATTTGAGCGCAGTCTTGAAAGCCCCTGTCGGGTTTGTCCTTCGTTGCGGGGAGATGTGGACATACTGCGGGGTTCCCGCAAACAGAGGACCCCGGCCTCTCTGTCCCCCAAGAGGCGCATGGATCTGCAGTGGAAAAGCTCCTTTCGAAAGCCGAAAGGGGCCCCTTTCTTTGGACAAGTTCGCCTCGTATGCGCTCCAGATTTTGGGATTGGAGCGTTTATTGTGCCTGCCGGCCTCAAGCCATCTCGATTGCCAGCTTTCTTGGGAGGGGTTCTGTGTGTATGCGGGGGGCAACGATTCTGATGTGTTCTTCGCGGTGGACGCTCCTCTCCCTACCGAAATTACCGAGCCCTGAACCTAAGCCCCAAACTGGCAAGGGCCAGAGATTCGGGTTGAGTTCTCGCTTTCTCGTCAGTTTTATTGCCAAGCTTCTTGCAGAGGCCCGGGCAGACCTGGGCTGCGCGTCCCATGATGGGACGACACCGGCCCAGCTGGCCGCCATGAACGGCCATGCGGAAGCCTTGCAGCTGCTGCGGGAGGCCGCCGGTTTTCGAGGTGAGAAGCCCTTCAGGTTTCAAAGGTTGCCTGCCCAAGCCTGGAGGTCCCCAAGAGGCGCATGGATCTGCAGTGGCAAAGCTCCTTTCGAAAGCCGAAGGGGCTCCTTTCTTTGGACAAGTTCTTGTAAGTTTGGAAGAAAGGACGGTCTGTGCTCTAGATTTCTAGATCGTGGCGGAGTTGTCCTGGGCGTGCAGTGTCTGTGTGCGGCTAGCGGTTCTGATGTTGTCTGGCCGAAAGAAGCTCGTCTCCCTACTGAAAACACTAGCCACTAGCCTGTCTTAGCTGTGGCTGCGCAGGCTGGGGCAGATCTGGTGGCCGCAGACGAGAACGGCGTCACCCCGGCCTTGCTCGCCGCCGCAAAGGGCCACGCCGGCATGCTGCGGCTGCTGCAGGAGGCCATGGCATGCAGGATCTCGCGGTCTGTATCAGATGATGAGATTTCGATGGTAGAAAGCCTGATCGCAGGTGAAGCCTGAAAGCAAGTGATTTGGAAGCTCTGAGTCTGAAGTAGCCGCAAGAACGAATACCACTGTAAGCACAAGTGAGAGTTAGAGGAGCGCAGTGTCCATTGCCACCTGCTTGTCTGCTCCGTCTCTCTCCTCATTGTCCTCCCTGCCCCCCAGGCTGGCGCGGACCTCGCTGCAGCGAAGAAGGACGGGCCTGAGCCGAGCACATTTTGGAAAGAAGCGGGGGAAAAGTGACGCGGTGGAGCTGCTCTGTTTTGAAGGACGGCATCACGCCCGCCCATCGGGCTGCGCAGAACGGGCACCTCGAGGCCCTGCGGCTTCTGCTGGAGGCCGGGCTCGCGTTTCAAGGAAGCGAGGAGGCTGAGAGCGGAGGCTTTTGGGGGGTTTAAACGGGAGAACTCGTTGCTACAACCTTCTACAGCTAGGGTGGTTTGCTGAGTGTCAATCAGCTTGCGACTTGTCGGCGTTTTTGGTGTGATCGTCTCCCAGGGTGGCGCGGCGTCTCCTCTCTCCAAACACACACCCTCCAAGCATTGCTGCAGTCCAGGCCCACTAGTGGTTGCCACTACGGGCCATGGCCAGATTTCAGCGGGCATCCGAAAGATCAGGAGCTTGCAACGAAAGCCCGACACGAAGCATCCCAGTCCACGAAATCATCAGATCAGGGCTGGAGCTTAAGAGCTGCGCTCTTTGAGCGCACAAGCTCAAAGCAGCGAGGTTTGCTTTGCAATGCTCTTCGATGGAGGCCCACCCGGGCCCTCGGACCGAAGACATTTGAGGGCAAAGGGCCAAGTCCCGGAGCCATCGCCCAACCAGGCAACTCTGCCTCAAGATTGTCGGAGTGTCCCATGTAAGCGCCGTGCGACTTTGCCGCCAGTTCCCGTTCTGCACAGCTATCAGACAACTCCTCAAGCTCGCATCATACTTGTAGAGCCAGCTCGTCAGAGCATTAAGCTTGATCAGCGAAAGGGCCAGAGATTTGAGCGCAGTCTTGACAGCCCCTGTCGGGTTTGTCCTTCGTTGCGGGGAGATGTGGACATACTGCGGGGTTCCCGCAAACAGAGGACCCCGGCCTCTCTGTCCCCCAAGAGGCGCATGGATCTGCAGTGGAAAAGCTCCTTTCGAAAGCCGAAGGGGCCCCTTTCTTTGGACAAGTTCGCCTCGTATGCGCTCCAGATTTTGGGATTGGAGCGTTTATTGTGCCTGCCGGCCTCAAGCCATCTCGATTGCCAGCTTTCTTGGGAGGGGTTCTGTGTGTATGCGGGGGGCAACGATTCTGATGTGTTCTTCGCGGTGGACGCTCCTCTCCCTACCGAAATTACCGAGCCCTGAACCTAAGCCCCAAACTGGCAAGGGCCAGAGATTCGGGTTGAGTTCTCGCTTTCTCGTCAGTTTTATTGCCAAGCTTCTTGCAGAGGCCCGGGCAGACCTGGGCTGCGCGTCCCATGATGGGACGACACCGGCCCAGCTGGCCGCCATGAACGGCCATGCGGAAGCCTTGCAGCTGCTGCGGGAGGCCGCCGGTTTTCGAGGTGAGAAGCCCTTCAGGTTTCAAAGGTTGCCTGCCCAAGCCTGGAGGTCCCCAAGAGGCGCATGGATCTGCAGTGGCAAAGCTCCTTTCGAAAGCCGAAGGGGCTCCTTTCTTTGGACAAGTTCTTGTAAGTTTGGAAGAAAGGACGGTCTGTGCTCTACATTTCTAGATCGTGGCGGAGTTGTCCTGGGCGTGCAGTGTCTGTGTGCGGCTAGCGGTTCTGATGTTGTCTGGCCGAAAGAAGCTCGTCTCCCTACTGAAAACACTAGCCACTAGCCTGTCTTAGCTGTGGCTGCGCAGGCTGGGGCAGATCTGGTGGCCGCAGACGAGAACGGCTGGACCCCGGCCTTGCTCGCCGCCCAGAAAGGCCACGCCGGCGTGCTGCGGCTGCTGCAGGAGGCCATGGCATGCAGGATCTCGCGGTCTTTCGGATGATGAGATTTCGATGGTAGAAAGACTGATCGCAGGTGAAGCCTGAAAGCAAGTGATTTGGAAGCTTTAAATCTGAAGTAGCCGCAGACGAGTGCCAATGTAAGTAGAAGTGAGAGTTGGAGGAGCACAGAGTGACCATTGCCACCCGCTTGTCCGCTCCGGTCTCTCCTCATTGCCCTCCCTGCCCCCCGCAGCACAGGCTGGCGCGGACCTCGCTGCAGCGAAGAAGGACGGGCCTGAGCCGAGCATAGATTGGAAAGAAGCGGAGGAAAAGTTACGGGGCGGCTCTGTTTGGAAGGACGGCGCCACCCCGGCCTTGCTCGCCGCTCTGAACGGCCACGCCGGCGTGCTGCGGCTGCTGCAGGAGGCCATGGCATGCAGGATCTTGCGCTCTTTCGGATGATGAGATTTCTATGGTAGAAAAACTGATCGCAGGTGAAGCTTGAAAGCAAGTGATTTGGAAGCTTTAAATCTGAAGTAGCCGCAGACGAGTGCCAATGTAAGTAGAAGTGAGAGTTGGAGGAGCGCAGTGTCCCTTGCCGTGCGCGTCTTCGCTCCGGTCTCTCCTCATTGCCCTCCCTGCCCCCCGACCGCAGGCTGGCGCGGACCTCGCTGCAGCAAAGAAGGACGGGCCTGAGCCGAGCATTTATTGGAAAGAAGCGGAGGAGAAGTGACGCGGTTTTTCTGTTTTGAAGGACGGCCGAGCGCCCGCCCACTATGCTGCGCAGAACGGGCACCTCGAGGCCCTGCGGCTTCTGCTGGAGGCCGGGCTGCAGACTTCCAGAGCTTTCGTTTCAAGAAGCGAGGAGGCTGAGAGCAGAGGCCTTTGGGCTTTGGGGGTCTGAAGGGATTTTTGGAGAGGAGAGAAAATCGCCGCTACAGCTTGCGACCCAACTTCGAACAAATTTTTGTGGAGGAGGCCAGCTGCAGTCCTGAAAAGTCTGCACATGCAGCGAGGTCGGGGCCAGTATGTAAGCTTTCAACGGGCTGGAACTTAAGAGCTCCGCGCCACAGCAGCAAGGTGTTTTCTTGAATTCCTCTTCCACGGAAACCTACGCGGCCCTCGGACCGAAGTCGCAGAGTCACCCACCCCATCTAAGCACAACTCTGATTCTGCGTCAAGACTGTCGGAGTGGCCGACTCCGACGACTGTACTTTGGGAAGGATTTGGCGGCAAAGTTGGGGTCTCGTCGGTTTATTGTCGCGGGCTTCTTCCCCCAAGAAGGGTCTTCCAGTCAAGTTTGTGTAAGAGAAGCGATAGCTCATAATCTAAATCGCTCGAGTTGCTCCAGACGTCGTCGGCCGCTAGCACCTGCGAATGTTTGGATTCCAAGCCCTGCCTTCACGGTGAATGGTTGACAAAAAGGGAGCCGAGGCCCTGCTTTTCGGGAGGAGCCGGCATACTGTTACACATATAGCAAACAGACCGCAGCCGCAGCCTGTCCGCAGCAGAAGGGTAGGGTGAAAGACGAAACGAATACACCCTGGCCAAAGACACTTTAGGTGTGATCGAAGGGTGTGTGTTCTCGCTCTCTCCTCAGTTCATTACCAATTTGCTTGAGGAGGCTCGGGCTCGGGCCGACCCGACCCGCGCGCCGCGGCAAGCGAAGCGAAGGGGCCGAAAATCTGTGGAGCCCAGTCTTCAAGGCCCCAGACGCCTGCGTAAGGCTACGGGGATCCGTGCAAGACCTTTCGGGAAGCCTATTTCTGTCAATCAGCCTCTTGGTATGTCGCTCCTGTCCTTCGTTTCGGGGATGTGTTGTCGCCTGGTTTTGGTCTCCTGCGCTTCGTGCTCTTTCTCCGAGGTATGTGGACGTAGTCTATACGACGTCAAGAGCAAACAGACCGGGTCGGTCTTCAGCAGAAGTGCAGGTTGCAAAAGCGGAAAAGCTGCCGGCGACGCGACACTGCTTTCTGTGCGTCTGCCTGGGCCCAACCAGAAGTGTGCCGAACGGCCACTCCTTTGATCTTAAAGCTTGGGGATCCGCACGCAAGTCCCTTGCATATGACAGTTTTCGACTGGTCTGTATGTTTTTGTGCTATCTCGGAGTCTCCCGGAATATCGTGTGGCGTCTCCTCGCTCCCATTGCGACTTCGAACCGGAGTCCTTCCCATGTAAGCGCCGTGTGACTTTGCCGCCAGTTCCCGTTCTGCACAGCTATGAGACAACTCAACAAGTTCGCATCATACTTTTAGAGCCAGCTCGTCGGAACATATTAAACTTGATCAGCGAAAGGGCAGCGCAGTCTTCAAAGCCCTATACACCTGAGTCCAGAGCACCCCCGGCCACGTGAGGCCTGCCACGCGTAGAACGGCAGCTTGTCGGGTTTGTCCTTCGTCGTTGCGGGGATATGTGGACATACTCCGGGGGATCCCGGCCTGTCTGTCCCCCAACAGCCGCATGGATCTGCAGTGGAAAAGCTCCTTTCGAAAGCCGGAGGGGCCCCTTTCTTTGGACAAGTTCGCCTCGTACTTGTAAGTTTGGAAGAAAGGACGGTCTGTGCTCTAGATTTCTAGATCGTCGCGGAGTTCTGCTGGGCGTGCAGTGTCTGTGTGCGGCTAGCGGTTCTGATGTTGTCTGGCCGAAAGAAGCTCGTCTCCCTACTGAAAACAATCATTAGCCCGTCTTAGCTGTGGCTGCGCAGGCTGGGGCAGATCTGGCAGCCGCAGACGAGAACGGCGTCACCCCGGCCTTGCTCGCCGCTGAGAAGGGCCACGCCGGCGTGCTGCGGCTGCTGCAGGAGGCCATGGCATGCAGGATCTTGCGGTCTTTCGGATGATGAGATTTCGATGGTAGAAAGCCTGATCGCAGGTGAAGCTTGAGAGCAAGGTATTTGGAAGCTCTGAGTTTGAAGTAGCCGCAAGAGCGAATACCACTGTAAGCACAAGTGCGAGTTAGAGGAGCACAGTGTCCATTGCCACCCGCTTGTCCGCTCCGGTCTCTCCTCATTGCTCTCCCTGCCCCCCGACTGCAGGCTGGCGCGGACCTCGCCGCAGCGAAGAAGGACGGGCCTGAGCCGAGCATTTATTGGAAAGAAGCGGAGGAAAAGTGACGCGGCGGCTCTGTTTTGAAGGACGGCGCCACCCCGGCCTTGCTCGCCGCTCTGAACGGCCACGCCGGCGTGCTGCGGCTGCTGCAGGAGGCCATGGCATGCAGGATCTTGCGCTCTTTCGGATGATGAGATTTCTATGGTAGAAAAACTGATCGCAGGTGAAGCTTGAAAGCAAGTGATTTGGAAGCTTTAAATCTGAAGTAGCCGCAGACGAGTGCCAATGTAAGTAGAAGTGAGAGTTGGAGGAGCGCAGTGTCCCTTGCCGTGCGCGTCTTCGCTCCGGTCTCTCCTCATTGCCCTCCCTGCCCCCCGACCGCAGGCTGGCGCGGACCTCGCTGCAGCAAAGAAGGACGGGCCTGAGCCGAGCATAGATTGGAAAGAAGCGGAGGAAAAGTTACGGGGCGGCTCTGTTTGGAAGGACGGCATCACGCCCGCCCATCGGGCTGCGCAGAACGGTCACCTCGAGGCCCTGCGGCTTCTGCTGGAGGCCGGGCCGAAGACTTCCAGAGCTTTCGTTTCAAGAAGCGAGGCGGCTGAGAGCAGAGGCCTTTGGGGGTTTGAGCGGGAGAACTCGTTGCTACAACCTGCTACAGCTACGGTGGTTTGCTAAGCGTCGATCAGTTTGCGACTTGTCTGTTTGTTGTTGTGATCGTCTCCCATTATGGCGTGGCGTCTCCTCTCTCCACACACACCCTCCAAGCGTTGCCGCAGTCCAGGCTCGCTAGTGGTTGCCACTACGGCCATCGCCAGATTTCAGAGGGCATCTGAAAGATCAGGAGCTTGCAATGCAAGCCCGACCACGAAGCATCCCAGTCCACGAAATCATCAGATCAGGGCTGGAGCTTAAGAGCTTCGCTCTTTGAGCGTACAAGCTCAAAGCAGCGAGGTTTGCTTTGCAATGCTCTTCGATGGAGGCCCACCCGGGCCCTCGGACCGAAGACATTTGAGGGCAAAAGGCCAAAGTCCCGGAGCCATCCCCCAACCAGGCAACTCTGCCTCAAGATTGTCGGAGTGTCCCATGTAAGCGCCGTGTGACTTTGCCGCTAGTTCCCGTTCTGCACAGCTATCAGACAACTCCTCAAGTTCGCATCATACTTGTAGAGCCAGCTCGTCGGAACATATTTCTTGCTTGATCGGCGAAAGGGCCAGAGATTGGAGCGCAGTCTTCAAAGCCCTAGACACCCGAGTCCAGAGCACCCCCGGCCTGCCACGTGTAGAAAGGCAGCTTGTCGGGTTTGTCCTTCGTCGTTGCGGGGATATGTGGACATACTCCGGGGTAACCGCAGACAGAGGATCCCGGCCTGTCTGTCCCCCAAGAGGTGCATGGATCTGCAGTGGAAAAGCTCCTTTCGAAAGCCGAAGGGGCCCCTTTCTTTGGACAAGTTCGCCTCGCACTTGTAAGTTTGGAAGAAAGGACGGTCTGTGCTCTAGATTTCTAGATCGTCGCGGAGTTCTGCTGGGCGTGCAGTGTCTGTGTGCGGCTAGCGGTTCTGATGTTGTCTGGCCGAAAGAAGCTCGTCTCCCTACCGAAAACCACTAGCCCGTCTTAGCTGTGGCTGCGCAGGCTGGGGCAGATCTGGGGGCCGCAGACGAGAACGGCGCCACCCCGGCCTTGCTCGCCGCCGAGTTCGGCCACGCCGGCGTGCTGCGGCTGCTGCAGGAGGCCATGGCATGCAGGATCTCGCGGTCTGTATCAGATGATGAGATTTCGATGGTAGAAAGCCTGATCGCACGTGAAGCCTGAAAGCAAGTGATTTGGAAGCTCTGAGTCTGAAGTAGCCGCAGGCGAATACCACTGTAAGCACAAGTGAGAGTTAGAGGAGCGCAGTGTCCATTGCCACCTGCTTGTCTGCTCCGTCTCTCTCCTCATTGCCCTCCCTGCCCCCCAGGCTGGCGCGGACCTCGCTGCAGCGAAGAAGGACGGGCCTGAGCCGAGCATATTTTGGAAAGAAGCGGAGGGAAAGCAGCGCGGTGTTTTGTTTTGAAGGACGGATGGACGCCCGCCCACTTTGCTGCGCAGTTCGGGCGCCTCGAGGCCCTGCGGCTTCTGCTGGAGGCCGGGCTCGCGTTTCAAGGAAGCGAGGAGCCTCAGAGCGGAGGCGTTTAGTGGATTTGAAGGGTCGGACTCGTTGCTACAACCTTCTACAGCTAGGGTGGTTTGCTAAGCGCCGATGAGCTTGCGACTTGTCGGCGTTTTTGGTGTGATCGTCTCCCATTATGGCGCGGCGTCTCCTCTCTCCACACACACCCTCCAAGCGTTGCCGCAGTCCAGGCCCACTAGTGGCCATTGCCAGATTTCAGAGGGCATCCGAAAGATCAGGAGCTTGCAACGAAAGCCCGACACGAAGCATCCCAGTCCACGAAATCATCAGATCAGGGCTGGAGCTTAAGAGCTTCGCTCTTTGAGCGTACAAGCTCAAAGCAGCGAGGTTTGCTTTGCAAGGCTCTTCGATGGAGGCCAACCCGGGCCCTCGGACCGAAGACATTTGAGGGCCAAAGGCCAAAGTCCCTGAGCCGTCCCCCAACCAGGCAACTCTGCCTCAAGATTGTCCCAGTGGAGAGGGCGTCTGTGCTTTGGGAAGGATTTACCGGCAAAGCTGAGGGATCCCAAGATAGGATTTGTGTCCCCTACCGTCCGGTTTTTTTTGCTCACAACCACACTCGCTTCTGTCCTTCGTTTCGGGAACTTGTTGTCGCCTGGTGTTGGACTTCTGCATTTTGTGCGTGTTGTCTTGGCTTCTCTAGGGTATGCGGCGAGCAAAAAGAAGCATTTTTTTTAGCACGCCCTTCTATGAGCGTGCTTTGCTGCTCCCGTCGCGAAGGCCCAGCCAGACTTGTGGCAAACAAGTCTTGAGCAGATCCGCATAGAAGAGCTATTTGCCGGGTCAGGTCCCTTCCGTCCTTTCATGTGCGGGGTCTCCGGGACTCCCACGATCTTCCAGGTAGTAGAGACCCGAAGAGTCGTCTGCCACAGGTAAACCCGAAGGCAGGTGGGGCATCCGAAAGATCAAGCTTCTCAACAATCAGATCGGGGGGGCCAGAGCTTCAGGTCTCCATGCTGATTTGTGGGTCGTGCCTCTGCAGCAGGCTGGCGCTGATCTGCAGGCGCGCTCGCAGCTGGGGGACACTCCCCTGACGCTGGCGGTGGCCGAAGGTCGCGCCGAAGCTGTTGGCTTCCTGCTGGAGGCCCGAGCGGATGCCAACGCCTTGGGCGCCTGCGATGCAGAGAACCCCCTCGACCTGGCGGAGCGCCGCGGCAACGAGGCGAGCTTCGAGTCCTGCACGGGACAAATTAAAGGTGCCCTTGGCCACTCCTAAACAATATCGTCATGTACAATCATCTGATGCCGTAGACTTCTCTATGAGAGGTATCCCGGGTCGATGCGACGCAGATGTAGTGTTTGTGGCACGCAGGACCTGGCCTCCATGCTGCGCGCGGCCGGGGCCCGGCCCAGCGGCAAGGTTCTGCGCCTCCGGGGGCTGAGCGCCCTGCGACCCCAGGACATCCCCACAGATGCATCCACCTGGTTCACCAGCGGAGCCCGCGACCTGGCAAAGGACAAGGGAAAGCGCTACCACGAAGTGCTCCTTCGGGGGCGCTTCGAGGTCCCACAGGTGGGATGGCTGAGTGCCCAGTTCCAGGAAGGTGAATTCGACGGCAGAGACGATGCAGATGGCTGGGCCTTCGACGGCGAGCGCTGCCTGCAGTGGCAAGCTGGAAAGACGCAGAAGGCGGGGACGGTGGCCGAGGAAAGTTCCTTGGCCCGCAGCAGCCACTGCCAGGCCGCCCTCGCACCGTGGAGAGCCGGCGACGTCCTCGGCCGCGGCCCCAGACAGCAATGATCAAGCAAATGCTTTCTTGCGGGCTTGACCTTTCGGACGATAGAGCGCTTGGGGGGGTCGTTCTGGAGATCCAGCGGGATCCGAAACGAAGCTTTGGTTGAATGGCTGCAGGTGGAGGTATGGGGAAAGCCGTTGCAATTGTGGTGCACCAAACTGGCCTGGCTGTAGCGAACTAGCAGGGCTTGCATTAGCTGAGCCTTGGCATGTGGGGAAGGAATTGTACATTGTAGATGAGCCCCAGATGTGTGTCCACATCATGCGGGCGTTGAGATCCAGGAATCTGTGTATACAGCTGTTTTTCCGCTCCGAGCCCGAGCGACGTGCAGCATGAATCCAGGGCTGCGACCGGCATCATACAGCTACATCCTCAAGCTTCGGACATCTTCGGACTGAGCTTCATTCAGTCTTGTCTACAGTCTGCACGAAAGTGGGCCGGTCGAGATTTCTGTGGGAAGCAACCGGCTTTCTACTTGGCAACCTTCGGCAGCACGCGCACTCCCCAGACGCTGCACCGTGAAAAAGATTCGCTTGCGTGAGAACCTCCCATCGCCCTGCGTGAGTCCGCTGGACAAACCTCAGGACTTGCCCTGGACTTCGACAGCGGCACAATGCGCCTGTCGCATCAGGGCATTTGGCATCCCGAGGCACTGCGGTGGGGGAGTGGTGAATCAACAAGATAACAATGATAACAAGAGTGTATAGATGGATAGCTCCCAAACGGCATCAGAAAGCTTCGAGTTTTGAGTGTTTCACCGAGCTTGCGCTCGTTCTGGCAGCCTCGAATGATTCAGCAAGGACAGCCTTTTCAGGACAGCGTTGATGATCCGTAATGCGAAGAGAGCAGCCTGTAAGATACCGTGCCAATGAATTGATCCTACTGTGCAGTCAAAGCCACCCCAACTGGAAAGTAGTGGTTTGAGTTGGGCATGTGTCGGCTCGCCGCAGGATGCCTACCAGATGAAGTTTGAGGCCAACGGTCGCCGCTTGTGCCTTGCCTTGCAGAGCCCGACGGCCTCTAGCAACTATAACGAACGTAAAGAGGCTGGCCTCGAGCAACGCTGACAAGTCCACTTCGTCATGAGAGCCTTCAACTTGTACACAAACCGATGTAGAGCACGAATGGTCCTCGCACGCGAAGCGAAGGCCACGCAGAGCCGAGTTGAACGATTGTTGCACTCTGGAAGCTCTCGCGGCAGGCTGCAGGGTACATAGTCGACAGCAGCGCGGCCCTCGCCCAGGTACCCGGCTGTATCGATGCGTGGCTTCTTCTCCATGGCCATTTCCAAGAAGGATTGGAAGCATTCGCCACCGACAAAAGAGTATCAGGCACAAGGGACTCAATGTCAAGCCTGCTTTGTTACTGTCCTCTGTGTTGACACGGTCTGCTGGGTTTCTGGAATTGGCGGAGGTGAACTGTCGTGAGGTTTGCATCAATTTCCCGAAGTTTCCCACGCCTCAAAGCTTCAAAGCTCGCCCGCCGAAGTCCTCCTGCAGAGGCCTGGGGAGAAGGCACTTTCGACTGGGGCGTGACTGACAACTGACATGAGGCGCTGCGGCCCGGTCCGGGGGGTGGGCAGGAGTCGGGCGATTTTCATCAGTGTCAATTCTCTTCTGAGGTGAATGCAGGTCAAGCATTGGGTTCAGGATTCGGGCCGAGTAGGCTGATGGCCTCGAAAGTCCTTATCCCCGAGCCCTCAACCCTAATTGAAGAGCCGCACATCTAAAGCTTCACCCCAACTCCCAAGCCTCAACTTCGTCCTGCGTGAGCGATGCATCCCCTTCACTTCCGGCCCTACACACCTATATAGACTCCTATAGACTGCCAGGTCCAGAAGAAGTGAAGTATCGAATTGCGGCAGCTCCCTGGCAACCGATTGGCTCACTGCTAGCGCATACGGCCCACAAGGAAAGCACGTCACCTGGCCTTTCGGGGGAGCGGAGATGCGGTTCGGGGATGGGATGTGGCATAGGTGTTAGCATGACTCTAGGCCTGGCAAACCTCCCCAAACGGGAGAGATCAAAGGGATTGAGAGCTTCAGGCTGAGGGTCGAGGACCTCTCTCCCTGCCTATCTACTGGTGTTGCCTCGAATCAAAAGAAGCGGCTGCTTCGGCTCTGAGGCCATCGCCTGGCCATTTTGGCCGTCGCCTGCCAGCAATGTACGCCTCCTGTCATGCGCATTCGGAGGATGGCAGGGTTACTTTCTTCATATTTTCTGCTTCCATCTTCTCTGGTATCTTTTCAATGTGTTTTTCTTCTTACTAATTTCTCTTCTTGGAGATCCTATTATCTGACATTGGTTGTATTTCTGTAGAAGCTTCTGTAGGTCATTAATTTCTTAGTCGTTTATCTTACCGTTTGTTCTTGGTTCCATTCCTTTCGAATAAAAGCAAAAGAGACAAGTGAAGAGCGGAGTGATGAATGTGTGCTCTTTTTGCGTTATGCGAAACGAACGGCACCAAACGAACAAAAAACCCTATTTTACAACCATGTTCTAGTATGAAGTGATTCCTTGCTGACGCCTCTTATAACTTATAATCTGGGAAATGCTGAAATCTTCTTATAGTGGTGGATCTTGGTGGTTTCTCTTCATTTATTATTAAACGAAGTGAGTGACGTGGTCAATTTCAATGAAATGAGCGAAAGAAAGAGCGAATGGAAGCGAGAGTTAAGCACGGAATGAAAGAAGTGGAATATTTTTCTTTAATATTTTAGTTATAGGACATTTACCACCAATTTCTAGTTGTATATTATGACCTGATACTGCATTATAAGGATTACAACTAAATTCCAGAAGCTTTCTACCTTATGATTTGGTCTTTTTAGGACTTCCTCATAATCCTTTCTACCTTGCAGCATATAGGTCATCTAGTAGCATATGAAGTGAGTTAGTTGCATGAACATGAAAGGAAACAAGACAATGAACGAACGAAGTGTAGCGAAGCGAGATTTTTTCTTTCATTATGACGCAACAACGAACGAAATCAGGAGCCCTTGGCGTTGGGGTTCGTTTAGGCGGCTGGGATGCAGGATTTATCTTCTTATTCAATTGCTGCATTAGATTTCTTGATATTTTTGGAGGACATCCTGTTTTATTACTGGAAAACTCTTGTAAGTCTTATCACATGTTAGTGGTTGATGATTTGATACTAAGAATTAGGTCTATCTTTAAAGGAGAATTTCCTAATGTTATATTCCTTACCAAGATTCAGTTGTTTATTCTCCAAGCCTAATAATTCCATTGTAATATTCTTTCCACTAGATTCCTCTTATGCTTGGAACCTTACCAATACCCTCTTGTAAACTCTCCATCTACTGTCTGCTGAAGTGAGTTCTTTGTGGTTTAATTTAAGCAGAGAAGGTAATGAGTGAAAGAAGTGATGAAAGCATGCTTCTTTGCAGCTGCAGCCAACCTTGTCAGTGCGCTCTCTGCCCAGCCAGAGCTTGCAGCATGTTCGCTGTGTTTAGAGCTTGCCGTCCTGAGGCAGTGAGGATGGCACCAAGCGCACGCGCTGCTGATACTATCAAAATCTAAGTAACATATCTTGACCTGCAGCTTCAGCTTCCTGATATTGTTCAAGCCCAGATTTGCTGGTGGACTCTGCCATAGATACTCATAGTCCATAGTATCAGCAGCTGCTGCCCGTGCTCAAACATGCAGCTCCGTTGTCGAGGCGGAGCGCTGTCGGTGCGACTTTTGATGCTTGCGTCTTTTGTTGCCCTCCCTTGTGAAGTGAGCGGCTTGCAGACAATTCCCAGGGCTTCGTCAGACAACGGCCTCTGCATCTATTGGAACTGGTAGCAATGAATCAACACGACTCTTTCAGCTGCGCATCTCTGTGGCCTCCAGGCCGCCGGCCAGCTCGGTTAAAATGTCGCAGGGAGACTTTCTGTCTTGCGGCGAGCCGCCCGGCATCAACTGCGGGAAGTATAAGTATAGTATTCTTGATGCGAGGGTCCTGTCAGGGTTGCCTCGAATCAAAAGAAGCGCTGCTTCGGCTCTGAGGCCATCGCCTGGCCATTTTTGGCGGTCGCCGCCAGCAGTGCACAGCATCTTTCAGACGCATTAAGAAGATGTCGTCTGGTTTTCCCATACCCTGGCCTTAGCTTCGGGTAATTAGCAACTTTTCTTGCGAAAGCCTCGACTTTATGAGGCCTGTTTCACCGTAGACTAGTTTACTAATTCAGGGTTCCTGTCCACGCCGAGTTCTACTCAGTCCGATGAGCCTGCACCCCATACCGCCAGTCAGCCTCTTGCGCAGGAGGAGAAAGTAGGCTGTGAAGACTGTAACCTCTACTCGCGGCGTGGCAGGGTGCTCCGGCTTGCTGTCAGAAGCGCAAAGCCGTTTGGCCTCGTCGAGCCCAGTCGATCGATCTGCCTGTTTCACCGAACCTGCTTTGGGCGGGGGTGGACGTGCTGCGGCGGCCGAGGCCCAGCTGCACCGGCTTCTGAGTTGCCGGCCTGCGGGGCGAGGGGTTCTTGGGCAGGCACTTCCATCTGCCACGCCTGTCAAGCCGCCCCGAGCTTACTACTGGAGTGTGTTCAGTGCGGGAGATTGAATTGAAGGCTCAGGACTTCGAGGATTGCAGTGCATCGGCAAGGCTGCAACGCTCTAGCATCGACCCTCTGTATATTCGTATTGCATAATACTCGACTTGGGCCCGCAAGGTATACTGACAATTACCGAACACGACCGCTTCTTGTGGCGTTTCTTTTTGTGACTCTTGCGCGATGCGAGCCACCTGAAGCTTCGCACTTGCTCCTGGCATTCGCCCTCATTCGCCCGTCGCAGAGGCCGTGCCACGCAGCGAAGTCTGCGAAGCCCTCAGCCGAGTTCGAGTGTCAGGCGATCGGAGATCCCCCAAAAAACCACGAGTTGGTACGGTTGATGATATAAATCCTGCATTACTGCATTACCCATAATAATATGATGGAATATGCTAAAACTCCCATAGTTTAGGGCCCTTAAGGTAATGCAGAATTTATATCATGAACCGTAGCACTCCAAGCCAGTTCATGGAGTGTGGCAGATGCCGGTGTGCACAGAAACAGCTTGTGCGGAATGGCCATTTTGGCATTTGGCTAGAGAAGGAATGACGAGTTGCGGAGCTGTTACGGTACAGCCTGCTGGCGATAGGAGTGTGCTCCACCCTATAAACCCTAAAGCCCTAAACCCTATCAGGTCCAACTCAGAGCCTTTAATTCCCTTTGATGCGCCGGTCTCTGGCACCCTGGAGCCTACCAAGCTCGCAAACAGATGACCGCAAAGACGAGCCATCCTAAAGTCCTAGAGCTTGGCATGCTTCCACCTCCTCAAACTGTGCGCCCTGCGCAGTGCTCAGGGCGATGAGGATAGGGACTTCTTCATGCTCCCGGATAGCACTGAGGCTTTGGCAGCCTGGCGCCGATGCAGCCAGACTGCCGCTGATACGAAGCCTTCGTAGACGAGGCCAGGGGCGTCTCTGGGGTCTCTGCCCCTCCTTGAAAGAAGACAGCCTGCTCATCGCACCTTCTTCATCACGTCTCTGCGGATGTTTGCTTAGATTCGTCTGCAAGGTCTGAACTCCTTCTTGCTTGTTTGTGGAGTGCTTGGGACATGGGAAGCTTTCACTCCGGCAGGCCAAAAAAAGGAGCTTATGCTTCAGAGCAGCCAATGCCTGTCGTGGTCTGAGCTGATTTCGCATTTTGATGTAAGGCTCCACCGCAAGCTGCTACGGGACTTCCTTGATTTTCTTACCCCCGCAGGGCATGTCCAGGGCATGCCCGGCCTCCCCCATGCAGCGAACCAAGTGAGAGCTCCCAGGCCTGCAGATGTGAGCGGCGTGGCGAGCAGATGGGTTGCTGTTGCTATTCAACACGAGATCTTTCTCCATGTCGTTAGCGTAATAGCTGCCAGAGATACTAGCAAGATGAAAATAGCATCAGCAACCGCTGCGGGCGCTTGGATTTCCAGAATCGCACGGAGGCAGGGAGGTTTTGGTGCTTTTGCCGTCTGCGACGTGAGATGTCTGCTTCTGTCCGGAGCTGCTTCCTGCAGAGCTGCGTGGGGGAATGATCTGAAGCATGCCGAAACTGTGATTGGGGGTGCAGGCTTCTGCTGCCAAACATTCGCCTACACGCCACTTCAGCAGTTGGCCAGCGTGCCCTGCGCTGAGTCGCGCATGGGTCAGCTTGAGGGGAACACAGGACCGTCATTGGCAGGGCTTGAACCATTGAGAGCTCGGCTTCGGACACGAATCGTGACAATCCCGAGTAGCTCCTGGGCTGCAGGACCCGCGCCGCGGCGCAGCGCTGCCACCACCGATGCGATGCTGATACTATCTCAACAACCTATGCTTTACAAAACATCATTCTGTATAGTACTTGAGACGGCATAGGTTCCAGACACCATCGCATAACTACAACTTACAACCAAGAAGCTCAGGCAGTTTGTGACATAGTTAAGTGCAGCTAGCCATTGATAGTGTCAGCAGCCCGGCCGGCATTCCGCGACGGCATGCTTCAGCTTGGCGTGGAGCCCTGCAGGCCGGGAGTGTGGCTT